GAACGCTTTTCAAACTTTCTGACCAAGGTTATATCTCCTTCATTTGATAGACGTTTCTTGAATTCTACTTAATTGCAATTTCATTCAGCAAATTTGCTTGCTTCGCTCTCAAATTTTTCATTCAACTAATTTTACAAACGGCGCGCATGTCATGTGATTACCCACTTGTTGTTGTTTTTGTCACATCGACTTCCGGTCGTTTTATAAAATTAAAATCCAATAAAATTAAGCTATATTTCCAAGAATACAAACGCACCGAATTTAATAAAACAATTGTTCCATTCGCGCTTGTTGGATATGAGATTGGTTATAGCCAACTCGGCCCTATGGGCCTCGTTGCCTATTTACCATCTCATATCCAACGCGTGCTCATGGAATAATTGTTAAATATTTAGCTGGTTTTATTCATGTAGGTGATCAAAAGATATTTCTCTTGTGCCATTTGGAATAAATAAACACATTCAGTAATTTTTTGAAGACTAAAAAAAATACGAATAAGTGCTTATTTATTCCAAATAATTTGCACAAGAAACATCATTTGACTACCTGTTAATAATATAACATGCAATATTGGATTTTTAACTTTTTGCACTCAATTTCAACTTTCTACACTGTTTGTTATTAATTGACATGCTCTCACCCAATCAGCATGCTGAAATTGTTGCATGTTCATTAATAAAAAGCTAATTCTTTTTTGTTGTCTCCTCCACTAGAAAAATTCACAGCTTGGTGTCAACGAGTTGGAAACATGGCACTGGAGGATCCAGATACTCTCCCAGTTGAGGTGTAAAGCTTGATTATCACTATGGCATAAGCACAAACATAAGCATATTGGCAGTGCAAGCATAATGGAATAAGCGTATAATGGCCAAAGGACACCCACAACACAAGCATAAGCATGCATGCATGCGCAGAATGGATAACTGCCTTATTTTCGGTTCCATACCTTCTCAGTACAGTAAACAGGATGGTGGATGATGTTTATGATTATGCTTACAGCAGCACGTTCTCACTTGACATAAGCACTTGCACAAAAAGACCAAAACTTTTTGTTTTGCTGCTTGTGCTTATACTTATGTTTGTGTTGTGAACCGTTACGTTTATACTTGTGCTTATGCCGTAGTGAAAACCAGAATTTACATCCTTTTTTTCCACACCTTTCGGTACTAGTAGCTGGTGCATATTTTACTACCACTTGTGTCAACTATATCTATTCAGTCAACTTTCAAGAAAGCGATCCAGTTAACACAGCAGTGTACTTGCTACTATGTAGTGTTTGATAATGATTATATATGACTGATCTCTCATGAGATCTTATAGAGATATTAAATATAGTGTGTAGTATTTAAGGCTCTCTGGATCATGTGTACTAATGGCATCTGTGATCGACTGTCGATCGTTATCCTCGGTCAATACCCTCGATCAACATCTTGATCAGTACTCCATTGACATCACGATCGATACTCAGTCGACACTTGATTGACACTTGATCAACAGTCGGTTGAGTGTTGACTGACTCATATGTATTGATCAAAAATTAGTCAACTGTCGACCGAGATGTTGAGGGAGTGTCGATCGAGTGTCAATCAAGGTTCAGTCGAGGGTATCGATGGACACTCTACCGTGGATGCCTTTAGTACCCATGATCCGGCTCTCCTACTGTTACTGGACATAAAATGAGAACACCGTGCTTGTAAATCATTGCATATTGGTGCAGTAATTTACTGCTTCTTGTCTTCTGTTGCTATTACTGTATGCCATTTGTGTCCAGTCATGAAAGAGAAGCTGTATTGATGTACATAATAGCTAGACATGATATATTTAGGCAAGCCTATAGTGTAAGTCTAAGTGCAGATAGATAGAGATAAGAGTCAGGCATCAAAGGAAAAATGCCAACTACATTTATATGTTATTAATAATGTTAACTCTTAAACAGATCAGATTAGGTAAAATTATCATATTATGATTCCCATTGATATGTTGGCCCAACAGTTTGCAAGATTGGTACCAGTATGCAGGCTTTTAGCCAGGATTTGAAAAGTGGGCATCCAAAATGTGCTATAGGGCCTGCTCAAATGAACAATTTATAATGCAACATATTGAAATTAAAAAGATTTTCTTGAATAAGTGGCTGTCCACAAGACGCCTTAATGCCCATCTGGCTGAAAGCCTGCCAGTATATCCATCTCGTGTCTTGGATTGTTTGTTGTTATGTTCCACTGTGGAACTTGTTCATAGCCTAGGCTCTAGGGGGTTTATTAATGTTTTCAGCGGGGAGGGGGGGGGGGGCAAATGGATTTCACAGGCAGGCAAAACTTTTCAAACTGAACTTCTGTTTTAGACAAACTTTCCTCTAGATGGTCAAACCAGGCAGGCAAAATCATCCTTACAGCTGATCAATTTGCCCAGTACCCGGCCCCTAATAAAACCTCGCTAGTCTCCCCAGGGTGCATTAGATTACAAATGGCTTATGGCTTTGCAAGACTATCTTGTTGACAACTAACATGCTGGATATCAAAAATTATTTTAGGTTTGTATTTTTTTTAAAAGAGTATTCTGTTGATATCTTAGTAAATTTAACTAAAAACCTATTTCTATTATCTCTTGAAGCAATGATAACTATTATTATTAACTTTATTATTAGTAGTCTTAGTGAAATCTTAGAAAGGCAAAATACTAAGCAAGACTGGAATGAGGGTAAAGTTCTTTCAACAATGTGTTTTATCAACGTCAGGCTCATATGAAGGATGAAAAAGCATGTCTCTTATACTGACTGTCATGGAATATTATAAGGCATAGTCTGCTCAAAAGCATTGCTCAATTACAATTACTTTTTAATATCAAAAACCAAAACAAAAGATTTTTGTCTCTCAAGCATCCAGAAATACTCCTAACCACTGTGTGCTTCAGAAGATAAAGCACCAGCCTAATGGGCCACTGGGTTCACATGCAAACTTTACCAAAGCATCAAAAAATGTGATAAACAATACATTTTAAAAGGTTATTTGTCTACCAAGGACAAATAAATCGCTTAATAAGCAATAAGTTTAAAGGAACTGTGTCAAGCCAGCTAAGGTGCACATCATGTAAGAATTGGCTAATATTTTCATGTTTGTATTGTGACATTGCTCCGTTAACAGCGTCTACATTGTTTAATTTGGAAGCATTGACCAAAACGTAGGTTCCATTCCCACCATTCATCATCGTTCCTTAATCAACCACGGCAATGAAGGTTTGAATACACACCATTTTCCAACTGGTAATCAAGCGTACCATCATAGTGTAGTGAAATGCAATACTACTGATTGTTCTAGTTGCTAATTTAGCTAGGTATAGCTGTTTTAAAAATCTTTAGAACCATGTGCTGTTATGGTTAACCTCGTTATCTTTCCTGTGCATATCGATCAATGGAAATTTAAAGTTACACTTGTTTAAAGAAAATACCTTAAGTAGAGCAGAGCAAGTTGTCAAGATCATTTGTAGCATCTTGTATAGCTAAAGTATTTTACTTAATCTCGTACGTTAGAATAAATTAAGCAGTTCTGCTACAGTTGGAATACTAAAGTAATGTCATACCTTAAGCATGCAGCAAGTGTATAAATAAACATGTTTGTAGATCACAGCGTTGTGGGTTTTCTTGTAAGGCATAGGTCATTATGAATCTTTTTGCAGGGGCTGCATGCGGTGTAATCACCAGCTTTAGTTTTTTTTATTACTTGGCTACATGTTTCAGAGCCTCCTTAAATATTTGAATTTGATTGTGTGTACTGCTTATCGAAGAAGTTTAAGACAATTACGCTGCGCCTCGCATTTTCAAATCTCTTCTTGGTACAAATGAATCTTTTTGCAGGGGTTGCATGTGGTGTAATCACCAGCTTTAGTTTTTTTTTATTACTTAGCTACATGTTTCAGAGCCTCCTTAAATATTTGAATTTGAATGTGTGTACTGCTTATCGAAGAAGTTCAAGACAATTACGCTGCGCCTCGCATTTTCAAATCTCTTCTTGGTGTTTTAAGTAGTATATCAAACACGAGAGACAGTGTTTCATGTAATATATCAAACACGAGAGACTGTTTCATCGGGATATCCAAACAGCGAGAAGAGAGAAGAAAATACGACGCGCAGCGGAGTATTTTTTACGGAATTTGACAATTCGGGGTGTTTAGATAGCCGATGAAACAGTTTCTCGAGTGTTGGATATATATCTTCTATATCAAAACAAAAACTAAGGAGTAAACGGAGAAGTAAATCAGTCAAAATCTACGCTAATTAAGACCGGGTATCCCAACCTCCTTCACGGTCATGATTTCCTTTTTTAAACTTTTTTTCCTTTACGACAAAGAACTTACTAGGGCCTTCCCGGGGTGGGGGGCGGGGTCCCCTCAAAAGCTTGAAAGTTGAAGTTTTTCTCCCTAGTTCCTTATAAATTCCATTATTTTCCAACTTTTTTTTGTGTTAAAATTCCCTTTTTATAGACATTTCTTCCCTCAGATTAATTCCCAAAATATCCCCTGTACCCTTGAAATAAATGATCAAGTTCCCTAGTAACTCAAAAACCCCTGGGAGGCCCTACGCTACCACGACGAGAACAGCAACGGAAGAGGGTCACCAATGAAAAGATTTGATCACTAGAACTCCTCCACGTGTTTTCAGGGGAACGTGCCATCAGATTTGAAGTGATTTTTCTTACATAAACTACTAAATTCAAACCTATGTAAACCTCAGAAGATTAGTTTTTTTTGTGAGTTAAAAAATACCAAAGCAGTAAGAAACACAACAAAGAATGGTTTAATATGACTGAGGAACGACGAACATGAAAAAATTACGCTGTCCTTGACGTAATCAATCGTGAGGAAACACTAACGTGACATTAGCACAATTTTCGGTTTACTGCGACACGCAACAGCTCCTCCAAAGAAACGGAACAGCTCTTCCAAAGAAATGGTCGACCGACAGACGGTCGACAATCATCGCGACACGAGCCTCAACGATAAATTTTCAATATTAAGCTCGCTAGAGACTGAAGGAAGTACGACATGTGCTTACACGTGGTGTACGATTTGCGAGCAATGAAAGGATGCAGCATGAAAATACATACTTGAAATCAGCCAACTAAAAACATCGCTAAAACCAAGGAACGACAATACTGGTTAATATACATTTATTTCTCCACACTAGTTGACTGATATGGATATACAAAATAAAAATATGTACTAAAAATACACTAATGCGGTCTATTCAAAGCACCTTGTATAGCAAATATTTATTTTAGAGCCTTGTCTAAGAATTTAGGTTTTATATGTTAACCTTAATTTGCAAGCACAGAACAAATCAGACTAAGGTAAAAACAAAAGAAAAGCAAGTTAAAACGTCCGCCTGTCTCTGAAACCTGGACAGGGAAAGTTTTAACCCACAAATATCTCTTCTCTATTAAACTGGTAGACGAGTAGTCCCTCTTCCGCTTAGTTCGTCGCGCGTGCGTGCGTGACGCGAAAGAAAACCACGAGAAAAAATGGCCGCGCGAACTCTTAAGGGCGAGAAGCACGCGAAAGGATTTTTTCCTCGCGGTTTATTTACGGTCTCAATCGACAGACTAAGCGAAAGAGGGACTACTCGTAATCTATTAAACTGGTACATATTAAAAATCATAGTGTCAGTGATGTTGCACACTTTAAGAAAAAACTTTCACACTCCTAGAAGCATTTTTTTAAAAACTACAATTCTACTCTACAATGCGGATCTCCCGTATACTACATGAAATTGAATATAAAAAACCCTGAGTTATATCGGCATTCTTGAAATTTATGTTATTCAATTATTTTACTCTCTTCAATTTTTCACGTCCGTGATTCAATTTTTCTCGTGTGTGAAAACAGAACTGGTATAATTTATACAAACTCTCGTCTAAGTCGAGATTACCCGTTCAGTGTTGCACCCGATAGATAAATGGACGGGTTTCTGGCATGATGACAGACAAGCGATAAATTTTGTCGGATATAATAAGTACTTAATGACTGGTCCTAAGGGAAACAGTGAGTTTTGTTTCCCTGAGACCATCAACATTGAGAGGCGAGGAATCCTCATCCGGGTGACCAGTATGGATCTCATCCGGGTTATTAGAGTAGATTACTCAAAACTACGAGTAACTCTGAAGATGAAAAGTTCAACTAAGCGAGTTATCCATCTCTTCGTAGAAACGGCCACAACTAACCAATCAAACAATGGACAACTTATTTCTTTTAACCAAAAAGGCAGCTAGGAGATGGAGATTATCAGTTGGGAGTACAAAAACCTTGTCTCGCAAGCGTAACCTTATGACATCAATAGACCAATTTCGATATATTAAAATTCAGCCTGACACAATAGACCCCAGCACGAGGCTCTGGGGAATAACTACAGAGTTTGTGGGGTTTACTCCCCAGAGCCTCGTGCTGAGGTCTATTGTGTTAGGCTGAATTTTAATATATCGAAATTGGTCTATTGAAAGCTTACATGTTTGCCGACCTCGTTCCCAGGAGAGTCGATCACCGACTTTCAGGGGATCCTGGGAACGAAGTTGACGTGAAAGTACTTCAGTCGAACCTCTATTAAGCGGCCACCTATTAACGGCCACCCCTATTAGGCGGCCAGTAATCTAAATCCCGATGAGGGCTTTTCTATTGTTTGTACCTTTGTTAAGCGGCCACTCGCCATTTCCCCGAGGGTGGCCGGTCAATAGGGGCTGAACTGTACCTGCTCTTCCGAGTGATTTTCTTTTTGAGACAATCAGAATCATATTGATATCCTAAATGCTATACACAAATTTATAACTTCGTGTAGATATACATAAAACAGTGTGAGCTATTAACAATGAAGCCTGCCATACACATTTCAAAACTTACACTGAGCAATATTGTGAATATCGAATGATTTAGCAGGATAGATTTTACCAACAGATTTCGTTTTTTAGGAAGGCTAATGAAAAGTCCACTGAGGACATTTTTTTGATAGGATATGATAATAATTATACCTATAGCATTATAGTATATATTAAAGATTACTTCCCATTACAAATAATTTAAGGATAATTCTACATTATTTAATTGTAAAATTCACACTGCTTTAATAAATTAAAAACGCAGTATTATTATCATTGATAAATAAGGATTATTCAGCGGTGTTTCGCGCAAGACGGCTGATATTTTTCATGTATTTCAATAAACAAAATGATTAGGAGAAACGAGAAAGCACATCGTGTGGCAAAACTGGTTAAAACCGGTTTGTGGTGCAAGTAATGGAACAATGACACTCGTTTCACTTTGCATTTGCACTCAAACGCCATTTCATAATATAAAGAATGTTATTTCAATGAAATATACTCTCTCTTAAAATGACTAGAGATATATCCATACTCGGTGCGATGAGAAAAGTACTGAGCATAACGTAACTGCTAAGACACCATTGACTTTTTTCTTTTTGAATTGATATTTTGAATGAATTAACCCTTCAAGTATTAATAACCTTCACTGCACTTTTTAAGTGATAAGGGAAACAAAAACAAGGATATGTAGGGAATTATTTCTCTTCGTGTCCCTGAACAGAACGATACAGAACAGAGGGAAGCAGGGCTAGCAAATGAAACCAAGACGTAACTTTGGAGAACACTAAAAATTACAATAGAAACCTTACCTATGCTATTAACGTTAATTACAAGAGCAATATGATTCTTGAAGATGTCAATCTGGAGGTAGTCCCCTCCGGTTAACAATATTTTTTAAAAAATAATAATTTTTGCAAAATAAGTGGTTGGCCTTAGTACTTAAGAGGCTTAACTGTGTTAAGAAAGTTAAAAAAATTCATTAGCTTAGCACTGCTTCCGGTCCTTCCGGAATGGGAGGTGGAAGGAAATCGACAGGACATTATGGCTGTATCTTGGAGGTTCTAATGCGACAAGAGGTTGGAAGGGAGAGAGAGGGAATACCTGAACTGCTTTTGTTTGGTTAGTTTATTTTGTTTAATTGTCAGATCGACCTCGCCGACTTTGAAATCTTGGGGTTAACCAACATGTTTCCAAAACACTATATATTGTACTACTGTGCACCCGTCACGGGCGAGGTCAGTCAGAAAGCGACGCATGTCAACGCGCGAGGAAAACTCGCATAGAATTCTTACAACGATAACAAATCGGCAGAAATTGATTAGTTTGTCAGGTATAAGGATTCCCCTGCTCTGCTTCATAACCTCTTGTTTATATTCAGTGACCAACGACACAAAGAGAGAACTTGTAGAAAGGCTAACAGAAAGTCATATTTCGTAACATAGAGTATGGGTTTAGACCTTAAGAACACAAAGCATACCATATCCTTGTTTCAAAATTAACACAATCATGTTTCAATTTATGTGGCCACCATTTCATCCTCTGTCTCTGGAAAAGCCACGTCACAAATCGTCTGCAACTTGAACGTTAACTTGGCTGAAATAAACAAAACAGAACAGAAGGTTTGCTATGTGCTTTCGACCAGTTTCCGATGCCACAAAACAGACTACTCTATGTCGAGACCCTGAGTAATGAAAAAATATTACTTGTCATGCAGTTACTTATGCCTGTGCTGTTTTAAGCGATTCTGCTACTTACAAATATTGCTACTATTAAAGAACAAAATCTCGAAATAACCGTTTAAGTCTTCCAAGAATTTATGCTGACAATATCGATGCTAACTCACTTTTCATGAACATAGTCACTGACCATAGCAATGGCATTCTCACCGGTGACAGCACTCACAATAGTGGATACTAAACTTTAGCGGTCCCAAGCTCAGAAAGCTATTTTCTCCTTCACATAATAAGCAAACTTGGGTTTCGTCAAGACGATGTGTTCGTCTTTTCGCTACTTGTAACTTGTTTGTTTAGCTATGTGCTGATATAGTAAGGAGATATCGGGCACTTTGGAAGTTAAAAGGAAGGAACTTACCAATGGCATCGAAGAAACTTTGAGGGACGATGTTGAAATGCACGAAGACGAAGTAGAATGGTACCCCAGACAAGATAAAGAGAAGACAGAAGAACGATTCTAAGGGAGCTTCGTAGAACGGCGCTACTATCAAGTAAATGGAAGCCAACACGACAAGAATGGGGATTAACACTGGAACCTGTTGCACGAAAAAAAAAATCATTAAAAACCACAGAGGAAAATTACATAAGAAACAGAAGAGTCTTGTTTGAGTTCAGGTCAGGTTGATGTCCCGAGGGGGACTCCGATATGAAAAGGTCGGGGACGCTGAAGATGCGGCTATCGCATTTGTAATCGCCATTTAAGCAATTTACCAATTAGGTTAAAACAGAATACGGATCCATAGCCTCTGTGTTAGCGCTGCAGTGCTCTACCACCTGAGCTACAGGTATGAAGAACCATACCTTGGGAGAAGGCCAGTTTACTGGGTTCATCTTAACTCGTGAAAGGAAAGCACTATTTTTGTATGAATGAATAATTTGCAAATCCCAATTTGGCGAATTAGCAATTTCTTAACTACCTGTCCTGCGCCCCGTCTGGCTCTGACTAAGTTGTTCAGTTTGTTAAGTTGTTTGAGGACTGAGTCGAGTCAAGGAAGTCGTGACTTACCTTATAAGGTCGTTTCATCTCGGGTTTCCTGTAACGGAGCCAAAGAAGAGCAGACACAGTACAACCATAGAAAACCCAGGCAGCGAAACTGAAGTAGTTTATGAGCGTTTCAAAGCTACTTGAGTTGGGTAGCAACATGATCCAGGCAATGATACTCTGTAGAATCGGGTTAAAGAAAACTAGTATAAGTGCATGCATTTGTTTGACGCAAAGACAGAGCGAGGGTCGGCTTAAATCGAATTTCAGCCATTTTGTCCACTTGCCCACCCTTGTGCAGCTCGAAGAGAAGGCTGAAATTCAGGCTATAGTCGGCGTGAAATTGCGCTTTGTGCTTCAAGATGACAGCGACAACGATGGTAACATCTTACAGAAACAAGAGAGACTGAAATATGTGACATAAATAATTGAAAAACTAAAGTTAATGAAATAAAGATTTTTTAAATAGGGAACAACAAAAAATAATTTCCTACAAGTCATTTGTCCTACCGTGAACACCATGGCTGGTAGGGGAGTGTGTCGCTTAGTGTGAATCATGGCCAGAAACTTAGGAAGATGTCCCTCTCGGGCGGCGGCAAACACCAATCTAAGAAAAACAAAAACAAATAAGAAAACTTTCAATTTACTTTCAGAATTTCCCTCCAATTCCCAGTTTAATGCTGATTGAAGGGTATACAATGTCAAATATGGCGGACTGCCGGGTTAACGGTTGCAGCCTCTGTTTTACTGCGAAGAGGACCTAGCGTTGAAAAAAAAATCGAATTGCAGAACCGATGTAAAGTAAAACAGTGGACTTAGGTCAAAATTGTGTAAAAAAGGAAACCGGAACCCTCATACTTGTTAACAGTTTTTACAATGCTCCTCAGTTCAAAGCATGGTAGAGAGAACGGGAGAAATTTTACAGAAACGTTACAGAAACAGCTAAATTCATAATACTTACCTTCCACCGCTAAATGCGGATCCATTTGCGGCTCCAAAGGTGGACGAGGCAACAAATATAGGAATGACCCAAGCCATTACTCCGTATAAACGGTCTGCCAATGTCTGAAAAGGAAAATAATGATTGTTTAACATTTACAAGAAGAAACTGGTTCGTCAAAGGTTTGTGCAAATGGTAAACAAAAATCCCTAGTGGAAAGTTCCGTTCGGATTGGCCATTTACCATTTTAACCCTCAAAAACCCATTATTTACCAAGAAAACATGGCATGAGAATTCGAAGGTGGCGGTGAAGAATTGAAAATGGTAAGCACTTATCCACTCGGATATTTCGGTTGGAAATTTTGGACTATCTTTCAAGACGTTGCGTTTATTTCGGAAATTTTCCGTTTGGTCGAACCAAAATTGTCTCACCATATATATTCTGACCGAAATTTCCGGAATATATGGGTAAATGGTAGACAATTTACATGTCCTTCTTATCCCTTCATTCCTTTTTTATCGTTTTTTTTTTTTTCTTCCTTTTTTCCTTCTTATCCGTACATTCTTGTTCAATAAAGAGAACTCAAACAGCGACCCAGAAAATTCAAGTTGAAGGAAACCCGATCGTGATTTTTGGCGGGAAAAGCAAGGGAAAGCGCGCGTAAAAGGTACGTAGCCTTCTGGACGTCATTTTGGTGGGAAAATACCATTATGATGTCCAGAGTCCGCTCGATCAGAATTCCTTGCTGGTTCTGTACGTAAAGGCGCTGCTACACGAGGCATTTTATTTACAACTTGTCTTACAATTTTATTCCACCGTTGCAAGAAAAACCTTTCAACAAGACGTTGCGCAGTGTTACACTCTCTCAAATGAACATGCTTCGGAACGTATTTTCGTTTTTATTGAAGACTGAGAAATTCGATTTCCGCCTCTGGGCTTATCCTCCCACAGCTGCTAATATGATCGAATCTGGATGATACGGGTTTTTCTTCGTTATGGACAGCAAAATGAAGGTGTGGTTTTAAATTCGAGCTACTTACCACAGCGACAGCACTAGAGAGCTTAATTTCAGCTGGTGTCAGCACGGCCAGATAAGCAATATTTACCAGCACGTAACAACAAGTCACAAGGGGAATACCAATCAATATGGACAGGGGCAAGTCTCTAAAGGCGATAAAGAGAATTACAACCTTTAGTAAGGGAAACATCACGGAGACAAAACAATTGTATAAAACTATCACATTTAAATGTCTTAAATGAGTGCTGGGGAAAAAATCAAATGTAGCCCAACTTAAGTGACTAGTCATAACCCCGGGACAGGTGTTACCAGCTTTCCAACGACCATTATGTATCAAGTCGAATTATTCTGGCACTTTGATTGATTCATACTTATGATCCATTCAAGGAGGGACGTATAGATGACGTTATGTCGAACGATTTCAGTTTGAAATAAACAAGCTTTTTTGAAGGTAGTTTGTTCCTTTATCAAATAAAACAAGTAGATTCCATGTTGCCGTGCGTCTGTTCAGTAAATGATCACAGAAAACGTCAAAATGTGGTAACAACATCAGTGACATACTCGGCTATCGCATCGCGTGCCACGTTTCTGTTTTTACCACATTTTGACTTCATCAGTAATCTATTAATCAACAGACGCACGGCAACATGGAACCTATTTGTTAAATCGACAACCGCTCTGTTATGCAGCTGAGGCTGGTTAATTGTAATCCAAAATATAGCTGCCAGGAAGAATAAACGGACTTTCTTCGAAACAACAAACAAGTTTAGTCAATGCTCTTACCGATAAGGCTTCTTCAATTCTTCTGTGACGTAATTTAAGTTGTTCCTATAACATGACGAAACCAAAGAAAAAAATGCTGATGAATGCGGCACAGTTGAGTACAAACGATCTCTACGATTTAAAACTACTGTAAAATGGCGTTTTATTTTGTTGAAATAGTGTAACCCTCCTCACGTATACGTCGTTGCCGGAGAGAAGGTTACAACTGAATCAAAGACCAGAAGTCTATCACAGCTGGATTGAGGGTAGGCTCGACTGTTAAGCCGTTTAGTGAGCTCGTGGCCTAGACTGTCCAGCCGTTTTCTGAGCCCGCGAACTCCCAAAACAGCTGAGCTGCAGGTTGCAAATAAAAGACCTTATCTTGCAGCGTTGATTAACAAATTGTCAGGAAAACGCGGGGAGAAAAGATGCCACATAACTCACCAGCCGTCATAAGCCCATAGACCGTTGTAAAACGCGAATCCCACTATACCAATCTTCGATTCTGTATTTTCAAACGAGTTTTCAAAACTCTGCGTGAAACCTGCACACAGAAAGAAAACAGTGTTAAGCATACAAAGAGAGAAATTATGTGCATATGCACCTTATGAGATTCCATCGCTGCAATTGGAGGAGAGGCTAGCCAGCATTAGAAGGCACGGTTACGTCACGCAGCACGGCGCACTTTGAAAATGAGTGATGGCCTGGGTTGATTCTTAATCGAGAGAAGAAAACGGACCAGTTTGGGAATTGGATTGAAAGAACAGTGGGCGTGTGGAATTCTCCCTAAAATCTAGCTGAAAGATTGCACAGTACGACAGCTGAAAAGAGGGTATCTAGTCTGTATGAGGCGTCTCTAGAAACATGGAATCGCCATCTCTTTTAGCGTTCCTGCCACTGTTCCGATCGCCGCACTCGCTGCACTTGGAACTGTTTATTGTGTCCCTGCGACTGGGAACGGCTTAAAAGTAATTGGATAGCTCAGTCAAACAGTGGGGTCGACAGGGTGGAGCCTACGTAGCTGGCGGAATTTCGCGCGCCAGTGCTTCCTGTTGGAGCAGCCACGAGAGAATTTTCAGCAGCGGAAAGAAACTTCCCGACTGCGGAATCTCAATTTGCGTGCTCCCCACTCTCCTCTCTGTTTCAACACTATCATATAGATTCTCAGCTGCTGAAAAAGCACTCATGCGCGGAAATTTCGCCAACTCCGCTGCCTGGTAGGAGGTTTATTCGCTCAATACCTTGATTACAGGCGAGTTACGAGTTACAACATATACACACTCACCTTGACCAAGACGAACCAGGCCAGTTACGATCAGCATGACGATAGCCAGCATCTTACAAACGGTGAAGACGATTTGCATGCGTGAGGCCCACTTCACGCTGGCGCAGTTCACGAACAAAATGATTCCTGAAAGAAAAACCAGTTATAAATATTTTCACAATGAAGCTCAGTAATTAACTGCACACTAAAATGCTAAGTCGAGGAACGAGGGCAGTACAGATTCCAGACAACCAAAGTAAATTCCTTTATTATATGACTGAGAAAATTACTTCATTGTAATTTGCCCATAGCAGGCCAATTTATTGTTAATTTTGCACGATTTAAAATTCTGTCAGTTGCACTCGCAGTGATACGATTACCTATTCTAACCCAATGCATTTCCGACCCTTAATAATGTAGAACCCAAACGTGGTATCAGACTCAGATAAAACTTTTAACCAGTCTTTTACAAAAACTGGTCAAGTCCTCCAGGCGGGAAACGAACCCAGGACCTTTGTCACACCGGATTCTGGATCATGAGCAGAAACATTCATTGATAGCAGTCCAAACAACAGCTGCAGACTGCTCCGTGGAGACACAGTCACTCTATGAAAGGATTCTCTGTCAAAACTCCATCGTTTCAGGAGGCATCATCACATAACTTCCCGCGTGCTCCAGATTCAACTACTAATCGGCGTATAATCCTAGTAAAGAGTACCCCCCGCCCCCCTTCCCACTACTGGTTTCACCAGCGGACGTTTTGACCGTTAGGCCTTCGTGACTGGAAACGTCAGGTGACCTAGTTGTATAAAACGCGAAGATCCAGACAAGACATTTTTTGATGCGACGAGAACAAATCGCAGGATATAAAGTAAATCGCGATCTTAAGTTACACTGCAAACAAAGATTTCAGCCGTTTCTAGAACGTCAAACGAGCTTTCCTGTGCCACAGATTTATTTCTTTACTCCAATAACAAAGTTTGACACAGCCGGCTGTATTCGGCTTTTGGCAAAGCAATCCTCTCTAAATATGTAGATCGTCTATAGATCGCCGGAGAAGTCGACCAGGAAGGCCAAAGAGCATGTCGTGCAAGTGACTTGACCCGAAAGAGGAGTGCCATGTGTAATCGCCATGCCACAACGTGTAGGGCAGCTTTTAATCTTCAGCAAGCCGTTTTTAGCCTCGGGGGTGCGGGGGTGCAGGGAGGGAGGGCTTTATTCGCTGGTTAGCGGATGTAGGTCTGGTGCAACCCCAAGACTTTTCCAGGGGAGAGGGCAAAGTGGAACGTTGAGTCAGGCAGAAGAGAGTGAATCGAATCACCCGTGTCTCGCGTAAAAACTACCACGGGATAACATCAGCCAATATGTCTCTCTTCCCCGTGTCTCCTCTATCCGCCTTTATGTAGCAGCAAGAACGAGCCGTCGAACGAAATAAGTATTTGGAAACCAAATTAAGAACAAATTCAAATTCTCTCCAAGGCTGTGATGAGTGTGATAAACTTCTAGCGCTACGAGACTGTCCTGCTGGCCTTCGGTTGGCTTGGGCAATTGCTCCACAAAGTAAATAAAATGTCGTACTCCGACAATAAGCTTGACTGTGTAACTAAGGGACAGCGGTAAAGGAATGCCTGACACGTGATTTGCCCCCAGATCTACCCAACCTCGTTCGTTCCCGTCCCATGGAGCGAGAGGAGGTACCCTGGTCCCAAAGGTTTTTCTTCATTTTACCTCTATTCGAGAAGCGAAAAGAAGAAAACTCAAGAAAAACCTCTAGGACCAGGGTAGAGAGGAGGTGGGAAGAATAGAGAACCCCGTGGGAACGAGGTTGATAGCTACCTTGGTACCTTGGGCTTTTCCAGTGGTGAATTGGAACAGGATTTTCTGGTTGCCGGAACCAGAATACAAAATTTTTCCAAATTTTCAAGAGAAAACAGACAACCTTGAGTTAAACCCAAGGAAAGTCCACTCAAGTCAATTTTCCTCAGGAATTTCCAGAAATATCCTTGAATTGTTTAAAACATTTTCAGGAAACTTTCCCAAAATTTTTGGTAGAATCACTGTACATGAATTTTCGAAGAGCAAAATAACTATTTTTAAAGAGGCTTTAGTGAATGATCCAGCCTTCTTTATGAGGTAGGGGCCTGACGTTTTTTCTGGCCCTTCACATCGTTATGATGGGTCCTCAAAACACTCTCTACCCTGCAGGCCAGGGAGGTAGGCAGACCATAGCCCACTAGGCCCCAGTCCCCTATATCTGCCACTGAATTTTTTTTAGAAACTACTTACTGCGTTACAAAAATCTGTTTAGGTTATTAACCTCTGCCCCACTCATTCCTAAGATGGTAACCCTCAACAATTTATGGCACAAACTAGACCACAACCAATTTGAGGCAAGAAATATGTTTTTGGAGTTGTCCAATAAAAGGATCAGTACTTTCATAACATTAATATTAAAACATGTGGTTCCTCTATTGTTATGAGCACTAGCTTTTGTCAGTGCATTATTTTTTTTAATTCTCCCCTCTCTCCCCCTCTTACTTGATATCTCTCTACCACCAGAAAAAAAGTTGAAGAAAACAAATAAGACCTTGGGAAGGCTAATATTGTATATGAGGACTGATTAATACTGTTCATGATCAGACTTGTTTTGCCCTAAACAGAAAGAAACAAGTTCATTACCCTTCACTGAATCCAATTAAACTAGCCATTATTACCAAAATTAAATTATTATCCAGAGAGGGATTAAATGTTGCTTTTTAAAAAAAAAAAAAAAAAAAAACATTTCTGGCACACAAAAAATACAGGAAGATTCAGGACCAATCTGTACTGAAAAAAACTGTTCATCTAAGATGAGTGTGTTCCGTCGTCACATTAAGCTTAGCAAATATGGGTGGCTTGTTGAACTTTGACAAAGTTGTTTGAAACGGCAAAATCTTAAAAGGCAGTGCAGACAGAATTTGCTGTAGGCAAAAACTGAGCAAAATCAACCAGATAAACATGCCAATCAAATATGGCAAAAGTATTTTAAAGCACTTTCACTGGAAGGTGCAAAGGTCCAATCAAATGTCTAAGGCGAATTCCTGTTTTGTCTACTCATGCACATTGGCCCATGTCCAGTTCTTAGAAGAATGACATCTGTTCCCCTTTAAACTAAATAAAGGAACAAACATATCAGTTGAGTAGATAAATGATCTGAGATCAGATGTCAACTTTAATACTCTTTACCCCTCGACTGGAAGATTTTTCCAATAAACGGCAATAAAATGTTACAAATGCCTATTTCTAGGTAAAAACCCCACTTGAGAAAGCAACCTGACATTCCCTTCAACTTGGAAGTAAGAGACGATCTATTTTGATCATAGCCTCTTTTTCGAGGTATGTACATGTAGAGAAGATGATTCCAATCTCCAGTTAAAAGATATTTTCTGATTCGTGTACAACACATCTGGACCAAATTTGGTTGCAATTCAAGAGGAGGAACCAGCCAAGCAAATAATGAAACAAAACTGAAAAACCGATTTCCTTATCATCAAAAACCCAAAAACCGAACGCTGAAATGAAAATAAACCGAAAACTGCCACTTACACTAAACCGAAAAACCGGATTAAGAGCAGAAACCGAAAAACCGATCAAAAAAGTGACCAAAACCGTAAAACCGAAAACCCCAACGTCCCCTGTTCATTTTATGACGGCAAAGTAGAATAGGAACCGAAGGTAGGCAACAGAGATGGGTCTCGTATGCAAATCAACGGGACATGGAGAACAGTACAAAACAATATTCAAATTACATACAAGAAGGAAAAAATATGCTTCTTTATGTGAGGCAGTTCTTAAATGGAGAACTAGACCGTAACCTACAAAACATATTTCGCAACCTACTCGTGGTCGTGCATGGTCGTGCAAAACGGCGCCCTCTCGTGCGAGGAATATTCTGTAACAATATCTTGGAGGGTCACTCAACATCTTGTGTTCTTTTACTATGTTTCAAGTAATTTTCGTACGGAATTTAACGCAATCGCGTATAATTTATAAAATTTAACGGTGTCAAAAAATACGATTAGATTTTGCCTTCACGTGAAACGAGCGAATGAATATTTTAAGTCACATCAAATCCATTTGCTGAAATTTAGGGAAGGAAACAGCCACTACTGGAGGAAATAGTTGTTCGTATCGGTGTGTGTCACGAGAGATTGTGTTGATCAGTTTACACAGCGATCGCTTTATTTATTCGCGGTTTAACTTAGCTAATATAACTAACAAGAAAAATGAAAATAGATGAGTGTTATCCACGTTAGTGACAGTAATTGAGAGCGACATTTATGCATAAAGTGTAATGTGTTACTATTCTGTAGTAAATTTCCACTCACCAATTGCAAGCGCGGCTAACAACTTCACCACGGGCTGTAAATCTTCTCTGTCACCACAACCAGGGAAGAAAGGCTCGATCACGTAAGCCCCAAACGCCAAGCAGATGATAGCAACTTGCGAAGGCTTTAGGACGATGACAGAGGTCCACGAGTACAGAAAGGCGGCCAGCGGGCCGAACCCTTCGAGCAGGTAAACATACTCCGCTCCGGATAATGGGATCATTGTACCAAGTTCGGAGTAACACAGCGCTCCGAACATCGCCAGAACACCGCACAAGCTCCAAACGATCAATGTCAGTCCCACAGAGCCGCTGTTCTCCATGACATAGCGAGGCGAAGCAAATATTCCCGAACCGATCATAGTGCCCACAATGAGACTGATCCCACTGACGAGACCGAGTTTTCGTTGCAAACCAACCAAACTTCCCTTCCTCTCGTCCGGCGGACCTTCTTCATTTGTGAGTAGATTCTCGGCTGTCTTGTCCTTCGCTCCTCGGGACAGACATTCGTCACTGCCCCAATGATTGCTCGGTTTTTCATTGCCACTTGCACCGCCATTCTCCATCTTGCATTCGGTATAAACAGGGAACGCGCGCGAAATCTTCTTCACGTGTAGATGCCGTGTGCTACTATGCAAATGCTGTTCGCCACTTGAGGATAAACGTATAGTCGCTTTGGGTGGCTTGCAGCCAATCAAAAGACAGACGGTAATTGTAAAAGTTAAACCTTCAAACTTAACCACAATGAACAATAAGCGTCTTTTTGAAGACCCTTGGAATTTTATGCGCCAAATCGTGCAACAAAGTCTTTGATTCGCGCGACTGCGATCGGTCACGGCGGGAAAACAAGTCTAGGCGGTTTTGAGATTCTTTGAACAATAATTCAAGGCAGAGTGCTACTAAAATCAACGGATTAATTACAAAACTATTATTAATCAAATATAGAGGAAATAAATGTTATTGCTGCTTTTAATTTCTCTCAAATCGGGCTCATCCTTCACACACAATCAGAAGAAAAGCCCGTCAATGAAGTATTATATTAACCCGATTAAACAGATGGCTAACGGCAGGAATCTAACGTTGTCACGCACACTGCACACTGCACACATCATTCCCTTGTTGAAACGGCATCGGTATTTGTTGTTGTTGTTTGTTGTTTATTAAAAAAAAAAAAAAAGCTGGCAAGGTTAAGAAATATTTTTTCACAAAATTCCTTGCAGGAGCCATTCAAGTCCAAGCGCGAAAGCTCAAGCGTGCTTCATATGACAGCCTGAAGCATGGAGATGAGAGGACCCAAAAATACCACGTATCACTGGCTGTGTCTCGTCGATTGACGAATTTAAAATCACAGTTACATGTATTAACGTGAAAATCATCCAAAAGTCGGGAAAAAAACTTTGAGAGAGAGAGAGCTGTTTGTGCTCATTTCTGCAAAGTCGGAAAAAAACTTTTAAACGTGAACTGAATCCAGGCGGGAAGGTTACACTTTCTTGCCAAGCAAAGTCTGAATAATGGCACAGTTCCCGTTTCGATCTGTTGTACTAGTATTTTGATTGATCTATGGATACAATGACAAAAGAGAGACGCATATGGAAGACAAATGCCTGATTTTCACTATCATGGAACCCCATGACTACCAATTATCTCACCCCGACAAAAAGTCAAGAGATCAAACCAAACAAAAAAAACAAAATATTCAGACAAGATTTTCCCAGCATTATACTAGGAACATTTGACTCTGTCTTTCCCTTAGCTTTTCGGAGAACCTTGAAAAATTTAACAGAACTGCTTTCTCTGAAAATTGCACATATTCCAAAGAAATATGTTTATGAATGCATTGTCGGAGCGAATGTAATTTTATTTTTACATTTGATAAGACTTGGCCGAGACCGGAAACCTAGCCTTAAAAGCGTCTTGCACGCAAGGCTTTTTTTTTTCCAAAAAAGGAAACAGCAAACAAACAAAAACAAGCAAAAGCGGCAAATTTAATCATCCGCTAGAAATTGTTGCCAAAACCTACCGCTATTTAAACATCGGTTCAAAACCTGACAAAATCGAGACATGTGTATTCCCGCCAGGAATGGTTTTTTTTTTTTTCTCTTTGCAGAAATGAGCACAAACAGCAATAGTTATATAAGCTTACTTAAAAGTTTACGATTGCAAACTTTTCATGAACACAGGTCAACACATACACCAGCAGTTTCGTTTACAGACCTGTTTACGAGCTGATAACTCGGCTGGTGTTAAAATGACTGGTGCCAAATTGGAGACAACAGGGCACGTATTGATTTGAAAATTTTGGTTTTCCCTTAAGAGAACGGGTTATAATTTGTATACCTATCAAATAAGAGGCCAGTTTAGGCAAGACATGTTATTAAGGTGATTACGACAATGGGAACTCAACAGTCAAAGCTCTTTCTAATCGGGTTTCTAATCCGAGTTCAAAGTGTTAGAAGTGTAGCGTGATCATGACAAAACTTGTCAGACGATCACATTACGACTTATTTCTGCAATTCAGGAGTAATCACCTTCAATATCGCATCCGACCAGGCAACTTTTGGAACGATATTGTAAGTTTGGTTCATTTTAGCACACTTCCACAACCCAAATCAAACAATATTCTTCTTTCTGAACGAGTGTTTCCGATCTATTACGAACTCTTTATCGGTAATCTTCGGAAATCGTCGTGAAGGAATGAGGATGTACTCTGCCCAGCCTCCCACGGACGAATATTGCAGCTGTGCGGACAATGGCGGATCTGTGAACTCTTCGCTTGTCATCTACTAAAGGAATCTTTCAGGCTCTCCTCAAGTAACCTAGACACTCGTGAATCAGGAAGTCGATGGAACGTTGGCGAACCGATGGCTACTAGGAATCTAACGGAGATTTACATCAATCTTCGCACTGAAATTAGTCGTTTCAAGGCGTATTCGCTGGGTGACTCCGGTGTACGTAGTGATAGTCCTGGGGTACTGTGAAAACATGCACCATACACCGTGTTATTCAGTGTAATGACTCGCGATGATACTAGACGAACGACAGTTTTTGACAGATATTTTGTTTGGTTGAACAGGACGATGATACAGTTGCCCTTGTTAGAAGAACGAGTGATCTAGAGCTTGGAGTACAAGCAGGGGGACTTGGTTCGTTACCTCCACAATGGTGGGTATATTTTCGTTTTGTTTAAATACTGAAAGGTATTTCTCTCGCGTATCATACAAATATTAGTGCCGAAGGATTTTATTGCATATCTTTGATTATGATTTCTGTGAAAATTTGTCTCGTAAACTGAACTTTGCATATACATGTACAGTTGCAAATTAAATATTTCATAAGAAATACACCATTTTCTCACTTGATGTCAAACTGCTCTTGCCCACAAAAAGTTAACTTGGTGTATTTGTCATACTGTTCTTCATATTTAGTAGAAACGGAGTTATATGGACTGTAGTCCAGGCAGGGAAAAATTGTGGAAGTAATTTGGGAAGATTTGACACTTCAAGCATGATTATGTTCTGATGTTAATTAATCATATTAGTAACAAAAGTTAATGAAATTGGGTTCGTTGCGAAGTCTATGTGACAGTTTCTTCCGTCAAAATGCCAGTGATATATTTTATTCACTGAACTTTCTGAATCAGAGTAGAAACAGAAAAACAGAACCAACTTACAAGAAAATATAGAGGGCATAATCAATGCACAAGCGACACAGGTATGCAATAGGTCATGTTTGTATTCTTAGTGTTTGACTGGGAATATCGCGTAAGCCGCAGGTCTATGCTACAGCTAGTTCCAGTCCAATACCGAGAATACAAACATGGCCTATTGCAGTTGTCCAATTGTAAAACGTTCTAAGTGAAATGTTTTAATTGGACAACTGTATGATTACCCTCAAATACCTGGAAGAAAAAAGATAGAGACTATTTAGTTCTAGGTATATTAGCACACTAGTTAATAGGTTAGAACGAATGTATATCGGCAAGCACACAGGACAACTTTGGGTAACTTGGAAGGAAAGTAAGAGCATAACACAACATAAAACCAGTCTGTCTGATAGTTTTTTCCAATCGAGAATAGCAAAGTTGCTATTTGCTTGGAAAAAGTCAGGAATTGTATTATTTCTCTTGAATATTTATGTGCTTGGGTCTTGAAATGAATAAATGCTGTGTCCCCAAGGTGGAGTTGTAAATAAGGCCCTCAAGCATTTGTTCAAGATGTAATAAGCTGTAAGTTGAAGGGAAAGATATGTGGCTGTCAACAATAAATTAATGGATAAAAACCCTGGCTAATAAACATCAGGACCAGGTTGTTCAAAGCCCGATTAAGCTAACCCAGGATTAGCGAGAATTTTGATGTCAGTTTTTTAACTTTTCAGTGAGGTTTTCTGTTTATATTGTTTGCCTTTCAGTTTTGAGTTTGAATAATCTCAAACTACACAAAACATAAGCAGTGAAAAACATTTTTATAAAAGAAAAATGTATATGTTTCAGTTAACTTTTAAACCTGGGTTAGCGTTAACCAGCTTTTGAACAACCCGGCCCAGGTTCAGATAAACTGCCAGAATCAAATCAATGCCAGTTCAAGCAGGCCAAGGTTTGAAATATACCCTGGGAGAATTTTATATTTTTCAAAGCCAGGGAAGGTGAGGAGGTTATTAATTTAAGCTTGCTGTGAGCATTAATAATGGGTGCTGCTGATAATGGACATAGTGTCGTGGTAACTGAAATTACACAAATTAAACTCAGTTATTATAAATGCAATTTAACTACATAAACAACAAAGAGATACAGTCTGGTATTTTTTGTGGGTATCCATTGTTGGTGCATGCTTAGAGCACATCATCATGTCTTCAGTGAGTCATGGCTGGGTTGCCAGGATTGCTAGCCTCAGGAGTGATTTACTGTATAGGGACTGGTTGGTTGCAGTGTAGACCTGTGGACATCTCATGCATCTATCATTCACACAACTTGATGCAGTTGTTTTGTATAAATAACTGCTTTCATTTGATCAGTATTATTACAGTGAACATGACTGTGTTGGCTTGCATTGTACAGTGGAATACCAATTATCTGATCCAACTGGGGAAACAGAAATTGGTGCAGCAAAATAGGGAGGTTGCATAACTTGAGGGTAAAAAAAGATATGTATAAAAAGGCTTTAAGTAATCAGATTATTAAGGGTTTGAGAAATCAGGATTACTTGTCTGTTAGTAATTCCTTTCTTTTTCATTCACGCTTTAGGGTTGACGTTTTGGAGGAGGTATGTTTTTTTCATTTGCTTTATTTTTAATTTTGCAAATTGCTGTATGATACAACTTTCTGCCAATTAGCCTCTTTCCATGTAACCCATTAATTAATATTGTTGTTTGAAGTACATGTATAGACATGGCAGTCATTATGTTAAATGCAGAGCTGGAAGTAATAGTCACTTTGATGAATACATCAGTCAGAGATATCATTTGGTGTAACCAAATTCTAAAAAAAAATTTAAAAAAATACGTAAGACTAATTTTATTATGTGCTTGGATATTATCTAGACCATGCACAAAGTTTCACTGAAATGACAGAGGATAAGTTTACTTGACCAAACATTCTTTTATGTTGGAGAAACAGAACAGTGTGAATGGACACATTGTAATACTTACTGAGAAAAATTGTTTCTATCACTTTCTACCATAACAGACAATGCAATGCTTGTCTTTCCTCTGTTATTAAATAGAACTGAAGTATTATTTCAATTATCTTTATTTTTACAGATTCAGTATGAAATTACAAGAATAAAGCAAAGAAGTAAGTGTTAAGTTTTTTTTTTCTTTTTTATACAGTGTATGTACTATTATATAATAATGTATGGGGAGCACAGTGGCCTGCTGGTTAGGTCTGCCTTGGATTATGTGACCTGTCTGGGGTCATTGGGTTACACTGTGGGCAGAACCTTGTAATCTTCACCCAGGACCAGAAATGCACTCTCTTGAAATGTTTGGGAAACCTAACACAAAATACTTCAGAGGGATAACCTGTAAATTGGCATTAATGTTGTAAGTCAGAAGAGATTTAGGTATGATCTATTTTATTTTTTCTAGTGCAAGAGCTGTCTACTCTCCATGACCGTCATCTGAACCGACCAACCCTTGATGACAGTGTGGATGAAGAACAGACAATAGAAATAACAACAAAGGAAATAACACAGGTTGACAAACACTTTAAATATTAAATGGGATGTCTTTCTATAAATGGATAATATTTCACACTTGAATACAAGAGACATTTTTCTCTCGCAAAGGTTTCCACCCAGCAGTACTGAATAGATACATGAACAGGTTCTAGCAAACTGTAGGGCAACACGACATAAATATATGTACTGCAGTCAGGAGCTTCATTAACATTTTCAGCTGGAGGGCAACTGGTTTTCAAAGGCAGGCAAAACGTTTTGAACTGAACTTCATTATGAGAAAAACTTTCCTCTAGATGGTCAAGCCAGGTGGGCAAAATCATCCTCACAGCCGGTCAATTTGCCCAGTGCCAGGCCCTTAATGAAACTCCTGTGTAATACTTGCAATGAGAATAGTATCACTTTCCTGGTTGCTTCATGTGATATGCACCACACATCAGAGACATTTTTGAACACATGATTGCATTTCCAGACACCAAGAAAAGAGTTGAAAATATGATGTGCAGGGGAATACAATGTAAGAAAATCAATGTCTTAATTACCTTGTAGGTAAAAATGGGTACCTGGCAACTTTTATTAATGCTTGGGGTAATCCTGCAAAGGACCAGCAACCCATCGAGTTTAGAAACTCCTTCACTATCTGCTTAATGCTATAGCAACGGGTGAAAGCTGTGATATTATGAGCCTCTTAGCCTGACTCAGACCTATTAGCTACCCCAATTTCTGTTCTAAAACATACATGGTGTTACATGAAGATCTATGCATACACACTTAGCTATAGAGACAAAAGTGAAAAAAAAGCACTAAATATTAAAAGTCACTTTACCCTCGACTTTGTTAGGGGAAAATTTAATTAAAAGCTGATCAAATTTCTCTGTATTTAGATGTTTCATCAATGTCAAGGCTCCATTCAAAGAATAGGAAGACAAAGTAGAAATGCTTCAAAACAAGAACAACGGCTTCTAAGAAATGTCATGTCATCTTTAGCTGTCAGTCTACAAGATTTATCCACAAACTTCAGAAAAGGACAGTCATCATATTTGAAAAGTAAGCTTGGTGAATGAGAAAGGTCAATCAAAATGTTTTAAAAATGTTGGAATTAATGATAATTTTCATTTCCTAGGATTAAAGAACCGCGAAGAAAGGGAAAGGCAATATTTTGACACAGGCCTACCAGCTACTAGCAGTGCACTTATGAATGAAGATGTGGTTGAGGATGACGAACTTTACGACAGAGTAAGTTAACATGATTGTACAATTAACATGCAGGTTTGGTTCTTTGTAAGGATGGTGTTGCTCTTTGTGGGAAGTTGGTAAGAGAAAAGATTACATTAGTACGCACTTATGGTACCTTTTTCATGTCAAAGATTAAACATCCACTCCAGGGCAAATTTGCATGTGGTTAACATTATTGCCTAATTAAGAAATTAACTGGCACACTACCAACATGTAGGCATCATTATGTCACCCGAAGTACCGGTACTTCCAATATACTGCCAATGCATTGGCCAACAAAGTTGTTGTATTTCTATTAATTTTTCTTTGGCCCCACATGCAAGAGGCTTGAAAGTTTACTGTATTTTAATAATAGTCATCATCATCGTCATTGTCGCTCTATGATACAGTGGAATCCCCACTTTTCAAAGTACCTAGGGGTTCAAAAATTTCAGAGTTCCAAATATCAGGATTCCAGCTTACATCTTATCTTCTGTACACAGGGCTTTACTTCTGACCAGATGAGACTCGCTGAAGAGAACACGGCTATAATAGAGCAAAGAGAAAAGGAAATCCAGTCCATAGTGCAATCAATATCAGAACTTAATGAAATTTTCAGGGACCTTGCTACCATGATTGTAGAACAGGTTAGTCCAAGTTAATATTAACTAAAGATGGTTTCCGCTGAACAATGCAGCAATAATGGCAAAAATAAATGAAGTTACCAAAAAAGCTTCATAGTATAGTAATATACAGTTAAGAAGAACTGATTTAGACTCAAGCTGTCTGCGAGAGAAAACTGAATTTGAAGTTGTTCATATTTTAGTTACACAGACAATTCAACAGTTTGAACAAAATAAATGTAACACATATTTGTAGTGCCATGTTAAATTTGGTGTAAAATTTCTCAGCTCTAATCTTAGAAGTCTCTCAGGTTCCTTGCAGTAGAGTAATGTACTTTTTTAAAAAACCATCTGATATAGCAGTTACTGTAGCTTTTCAATAAAGAGACAATGCCCAAAATAAATCAGTGTACTGCAGTCATAAGTGAAATTGCAACATGTAAAGGAAAGTACTCTTGGTAAACTACCCTCAACAATGGCAAGCTGTGTGAAGTGTATTGTGTACTTCCAGAAAATATCCATACCTTCCCCACGGAAGGGATTTTTTCTAATACTTCCCCACCCCTCTGGAAATTCCAGTTAAGCTTCATACATTTATTTAAATTTTTTTGTCTCGTAGAACCCCCCACTCCCCAGGAAATTCCAATCCCTTCTCTGGGGGGAGTATGGATACTTTCTGGAACCACGCATTCTTTCCTAGTTAGCTTATGACAATGAACAGAACATGATAACATTGCTTGTCTCCACAGGGTTCAATATTGGATAGAATAGATTACAATGTAGAACAAGCAGCAGTTAAAGTCGAGGAGGGCTTGGAGCAACTCAGAAAGGTCAGTAACATTTATGATATGCCAGGAATTAATGAATCAAGAAATGTTAGGTATCTCTGGCCCTGGGCCCTTTTAAAGAATATCTCTGATGTAGTCATTTTTATCCCTGGTACAATATGGCATTTTGTTTTGTTTTGGTGTATACTGTATATGAAACAAAAGACATGCCACATTACAAGTACTAAGTGTAACATTGAACAACAACATCTCTATGATTTAGGTTGATCAGAACTAGGGCCTCCACTTTTAGACCCGCAATCAGAAACCCAAAATTGGCCATCACAAGAGAAATGTCTTGTAAGGTCCGTGCTATTACTGGAAAAGGGGAATTTAATTTATGCTGAAAAACTTGCCCAAAGAAAAAAAAAATTTAGTAATTGTTTGGCTTCAGATGGATTGGTTCCAGAAGGTGGTACAGGAAGGAAATTTGAGAGGGGCATGTTTTGTACCATTCCTTTTGCTTGATGTGGTTCTTATTTGTGTAACCAACCTTGACATTTGATCACAATGAGTTATTCAGTAGAATCATTCCTAAATTCTGTCCATTGAACAGTTTGTATTTATAGTTGTTGTTGATTACTACTTTGTGTTTTGCACATTTTACCCATTGAGATACCTGTTTAAAGTTGGAATGATACTTTTCACATAAGGCAATTGACTTTTAAGGGGAAGGAACTGTCAATATTATCAATGATCATACCTGGCAATTTAAAAGTGTTTTTCCTTTCTTTCCTTTACTTTAGGGTGAGAAGCATCAAAAAGCCTCTCGAAAGATGTTATGTATAATCTTATTAGCTATTGTTGTAATTATTATGCTGTTAGCTCTTGTAATAACAAAAGCAAAATGATGATTATGTAAGTGTATTTGTCATTGGTGTGATCATCTGTAGGTTTTTTCATATTAATTTGTACATTTGATACAAAAGAAATGGTTCGTGAAATTTAAAACTAAGTCTTTTTATCTTTCAAAGTTATTTTAGAACGTAATATTTCCAATACTGTTCTTCTTTTCAAAATGAAATTATAGTAAGAATTTATCATCTGGGTTGGGGATAAAGAAAGGTAAACTTTCTGTGTTCCGTTGTTGAAAATCATACAATTAAGCTTTCTGTGCTATTTCAATGGTAAACTTCCCAAATCCAAAGGGCAAAACTAGTTGTTAACTCTAAAAACCCATTGAGTAAAATATAAATATTATATATTGCAGATGCAAGGAAGGAGTTGGACTAAAGGGCCCTAGTCAACCACATCTTTGTTTTTGTTTACTCGCAAGAGTTTGGCTATTATTTTTTGTTCTGAGCATGTTGAAATGAAGGAAATCACTGTGAAACTACGAAAGGTAGTTTTTAAAACGTACTTTCTCTTCACCATTGTATCGATAGTTTTGATGGCATCAAAAATGGCGGAAGCTGACTAGGGTCCTTTAAGAATGTAGAAGTCAGTAGGAATGAGCAAAAAACTCATACAATGCATGACACTTAAAGAATGTGTTGTTCTGGAAAAATCCATCCCCCATCCCCACAGAAATTTTTTCTGTTTGAAGCCCCATTCACTGAAAATTTCAGTTAATAGGAAGTTTGAGACCACCCCACTCCCTTGGAATGAATGGCTGTCAAAGGGGCATATGGATTATGGATATTCTCCAGAACTGCACAATGTTACCTGTTACACAAAGTACATTTTTAGGTCACCTATTGCCGGTTTTCATGTGACGTCGTCATTTTCCAAAATTAAAAATTACCAATCCTTCTGAAGATCTAGTTTCATTAGATGTAAGACCCTCTAAGAACTTGCCCTTTTACACCAGGATTTCTCATTTTTTTATAGAGGACGTCTGAATTTTCGAGTTAATTAAATGCGTCGTGTGACATTAAAATGGTGCCCTGAGAAGACACTCACATAGGAGATGAGTTATAGCCAAGTTTTTGCTAACTGAACAGTTCTTGCACAAAAATAATTATTACTTTCAATGTGCTGGAGCCCTAGAGTAATTCAACAATTTGTTGCAATAGCAAAACTGAAGCTAACTGAGTGACACATGTTTCTGTTACACCAACATGGTGTCTCAATACAAAGCTCTATAAATTTGGGTGCAACACTTTTCTGAATAACGTGCGAATGAAAAACCACATAGGCCTTAACCTTGGTGAGGTTGTTTACATATCAATCATCTATCATTTCCCAGATTCTTGACTTCATTTATTGAATGGTTGCGATTTTTACTTGTGATGGTGTGACAGTGAAAACTAGCAATAGAAAAGGGAATTCCTACAAAAACACCTTCTCACTCTCTGTGGCATGCATCACTACATTCTTAAGGTAATCACCATGCATATAATGGTTTAATAAAGATAATTTTCTACTCTACAGTTCTGATCTTGTGAGTAAATTCATTTCAAAGCATTTCGGGAGGGGGGGGTACTCCCTTTATTGGCCTATACGGGGATGCTCCTCCTATAAGGGGTACCGTTTTCAGGTTTCATCTATATAAAAGGGTAGGGACTTCACAAGTTGAAGTATGCAAAAGGGAGGCAAATCTGCCATTTAAGTCCAACGTGAACATGAACTGAATATAAAATACTTGTTTTTTTGGTTAACATCTCTTCTGTTTATGCTTGATGTTCTCTGGTAATATTGTTTATTAACTTCATTCCAAGGCGTTACAAAAGGGACGCAATGTTCTTTGGAGGCTGTGTGAAAGGGGTACGTTTTTTCAATAAAAGATATATGAAAGGGATACCTTTCTGTCTAAATGGTTTACAATAGGGTAAGTGGTTGCACCTTGAGGCAGGGCTTTCCTGTATAAAACTTTGCAGCATGGAATCAGTTATATCACTATTCCTAAAACCTCAAGACTGCTTGTGTCTTCATGTTTTGCATCCACTGGGCTGATCATTCAATTAAGGTGGCTGCCAACAGATCAAGGCATTTTTTTAACAATTCTACTTTGAAAGATTAATACTCGGTACTTTTCGTTTTCAGTTGATGCTACAATAAATACATCAAACAAATGCCCAAACATTCGCATACAAGATATGATCATTTTCTTGACATCAAAAGATACTATGGCAACAGTGTGCCCTGTAGAGACAACACCTAATTTTAGTTTTGAGTTCTTTTTTACTTATAAGTTTGGTGACTCCTCGTATTTTATCAATGAATTGTGATTAGTATGTCAAGATTAAACTTTTGGACTCATTTTTGACAAAATTAAGATTGTTTTGATCTCATATGCTGTTGCCATGGTAACCCTTTGTGTCACGAAAGTGAACTAGGTTTGAGGCCATTATTACGGCATCAAGTGAAAAATATTGGTAGCACTGAAGTACTGAAAAATGCTGGCATCCATTGTGAATAATAATTCCCCCCAAAAATAAAACAGAGTGATACTGTTCTTCGTTCATTACTTACTGACAGTGGAGTGGTTTGCACCGTGGGTCAAGCTTTGTGTTTTGGGTGGGTGACAAAAAAATGCAAGTGAAATTGAAATATTGCTTGTATCGTATAATTTTATTAATCTATTATCTTTTATTAGAAGCTGCTTTGAAAAGAAAGAAAATTCATTACAAAAAAAAAAGGAGCGCGCGCCCGATATGGGACTTGAACCCATGACCCTCAGATTAAAAGTCTGATGCTCTACCGACTGAGCTAACCGGGCTCACCTGGTTAGGTACGGTATTTTATTAATATTTATTTAAAGGTTTAGCAAAAAAAACAATTGGTAACTTGCCTCGTTATGATGGGAGACGTTCGAGTTGCTTTTGCGATTCGATCAGATTGTGTGTGTCCATAGTTGCTCCTTTTAGCGAAAATGCACCTTATGTACTACCTAAACAACGAAGGAAAGCGTATTTACACGCTGAAGGTAAGCTAAGAATCAAATTAACGTTTAGGTTTGGTTGTGAAGGACTTGCTGTTGTTTTCAATATCGTTTTCAGTTTTTCTCTGATCCCACGTGCAAGAAGGATCCTCCATTAATTTTAGCGTACATTTTCTCTCGGTTTTGCAGAAAACTGATCCTTTAGGCGAACCAACAAAGTCTGCTCATCCAGGTACTGTTGTGATTCTTTTGTTGGTCAAATCTTTAGATCAAAATTTGAAATACGGGGGGCCCTGCAAATGCTAAACTTTTTTCCTAGGATCAAACATGTTGTCACTCGTAATAATATGGGCTTGTGCTTACTTGTAAGTTTATAAGGCTTACATGCATTGAAATGTTTGGAACATCTTTTCTTCACTGGTTCATAAGCTGATCTAAATGCTATGCTCACAGGTCAAACAGTGCTTGGGAGCTTATGGCAGATGGATTTTGACCATAAACTATTTACTATCATGCGCTATGGTTTCCTGAGCAAACAAATAGTTTGAATTGAGTCTGTTGAGATTCTACATCATGATAGTTGGTTATTTCGTGTTGTAATAACCATGCACTTGCACAGCCATTCATGGTAGTTTACTTTGTGAGCTGTTACCGCCAGAATCAATGGGTTCATTCCATGGTTAACATGGGCAAACTCATGAAATCTGAAACAATTTTTCATGAAATACGTCAGGCAAAAAATAGACTTTAAATCTTTAAATCTTTAAAGCTTTAAAGCTTACTTAAAAAAAAGTGGATGAACACAAAGACTGACTAACCTAGAATGACATAAATCTCTCACCAAAAACCTAAATAGTCCGTAAAAATCCCATGACACCCCGCGAGCCTCTCCATTTTGTCATCAGAAAAATACTGGTAATTTCTGACTAATTTCTCCCTAAATCATCAGAAATTACATGTTTTACTGTTTGACAAAAATGAATATGATTGGCCATCTGGTCAGGATTTGGAAAAATGTGCCTTCGCCTCTCTAACATTTACCCTTTGCCATATCCAGAAATCCTAAATTTGATATACAGTATTTATGGTATTTGAATTTTGATTCCAGAAAATGTGGTGAGCTTTCTCCAAATTTTGTTTGTCTGTTTATTTTCTTAGTAATATGCTAGATGCTGACATAATGTCCTCTTTTTCTAGCTCGCTTTTCTCCAGATGACAAGTACTCACGGCACAGAGTGACACTGAAGAGGAGGTTTGGTATCTTGCCTACTCAGCAACCCAAACCTGTTTATTGATGGGAGACGAACTTGATCTTATTATCCATGGGAAATGTATAGTCTGTAATATATGTATAAACTACCTGAAACAGTTCACCAAGATACTTTCTGTACATTTCTGTTGTCAATGCGGATGTCGCTGCTTTAAAATTCTAGGACATGAGACCAGTGCGATGAGTTCATCTGAAGATCTATCATCATCAACACAACATATTTGTTGTCATTGTTATCTCTAACCGAATAAGGTATTGATGGCAAGAGAAGTTTATTTTTAGCAATAACTCTTTCAACTGCAATGAACAAGTTGTGTGAGTCGGGTGACTTTTAGTGTTCTTGTAATACATAAGAAGATTTTTGTGCAACAGGAAGTGTTTGATGCACAAATCAGGGAGATCTAAGAAATTCTACATTCCTTCAGTCTACTGAAACCTTCAACTGGAACTTTCATGATAATATAGACCTGTGTGACTGACTGTTTTACTTAACAAATCTGTAATCTATGCCGAGAAATTGATGCTACAACCTTTGTTGTTGTTAAATAAAACATCAGAACCTTATGGATATACCTTTACCTTGTGGATGTACTTTAACCTTGGGTGTTGACTAAAAGAAGCTTTATTTGGATACTTGTTTGAATTTGTTGTTCCTGTCAGTTAACCAAACATGTTAATCAGGCCCACATCAAAGTTGCTTCACGACAGCAGTAAAAGGACACTGAAATTTATTATTAGGATAGTCTATTCCAGAGTTTCCTACAAACTGGACTAATTTTCAGAATCTTTCATATTTTGTTGTCTGTTTTCCTCTCTTCCCAATTTATTGACATAATTATAATTACAATATAATTATTGTTATTAGACTATGAAATTCATCCCATATTTTGCTACAGGTATATAAAAAATAAATAATAATTAAGTAAATTTGAATGTTTACAAATAATTTCTGTATTTTCCTGGGAAATTAAAATATCAGGCAGTGTCTTTTTTTTCTTGTAGACAACTGGATAGTCTCTTAGACAATCACTTCCTCCAAAAGGCCCAGAACAAAAAAAGCAATTTTATCACACTCCATTTGATTCTATATTCCAACCACCTTAATTTGAAGGTGGATCAAATAAGGTAGTTGTATAGAATTATCTTAAATTTACTGTTGTTTACATTTGCTACATTTGAAATCCCTCTCCTGCGTAGAGCCCCTGCAGTCAAGGGTTATGCTATTTTTTCATTCAAAGGTTATAATCACAATGCCTTTCAGCATGTTTCGTCTTTGGTTGTAATTGTGAACTCCACGGAAATGATTAGGGTACAATTATTAGGAAATACATAATTAATTATTTTTCTGTTTTGAACAGAAAGACGAAAATTAATTTGACCTTGTTTGGGATCTTCAAGAAGTGCAGTTAAGTTTTTTTTTGGACGAAATTCCGTGAATTTCATTGCGAGACGAACAATCGAGAACAGGAAGTTGATTGGCGTGACGAAACGGATGTTAGTAGCAATACCGCTTCAATGACGTCATCGTACTATGCAGACTCTGTACACACACTTTGTTGCGATTTGATTTGATTTACAGTACTTGTGGTTTTACTGTCCGCCACAGAAACGTGAAAGTGATAGTCTGCAAAATGTTTTGATAATGCGTTCTACGTTTTGCAAGCAATTTTCTGCTGGATAGAACTTTGATAGATGAGCTTTATGTGCGAAGCTGGGAGTTGTGAAACATGTTCGTCATGATTTCACGTTACTACTGCTCAATCAGCTGCTTTTCGGCTCGAAACACGAGAGACAATTATTCGAAAGATGGATCCCCAAATCAGTAGACTGTTACTGAGTGCTGAACAGGGAAACTTGTCTATGGTTTCAGCGCTCTTAGACAAAGGTATCCATGTCGATTCGACTGACGAAGAGGGAGTAAATGCACTCCACTCCTCGTCAGCAAACGGCAATGAAAACGTTGTGCGTTTGTTGTTGTCACGAGGTGCGAGTTTGAACGCTACAACAATCTACGGTTGGACGGCCCTGATGCTGGCCGCTTATTACGGACATTTCATGGTCTGTTGGATTTTAATTCAACACAAAGCAGATATACAGGTTAAAAACGAACTCCGTTCAACAGCTCTGGACTGTGCGGCTCGGAGCGGTCATGTACAGATCGCCGCTCTCTTGATCGAGTCTCTGCAGGTGGATTACAGCAGTCCAGAAGCATGTCTCAATACTCCGCTAATGAACGCGGCTCAACATGGCCACGAGGCGGCCTTAAAATTGTTCCTTGAAAAGGGGGCAGATGTTAATTATAGAGACGAAAAAACGGGATGGACGGCGCTGATGTTAGCAGCCTTAAATGGCCACATGACAGCAGTGCAAATTCTGGTAGAGTTTGGCGCGGACACGAACACTCTCAACTACATCGATCAAACTGCGTTCGAGATTGCTGCTACTCGGCAAAAGACCGAAGTACAAGGATTTCTCGATGAAAGAACTACTGCGAGACCGCAAATTAAAGGTAAAATCGTTTTAAGTGTTTTAATTCGTTTAATTTGGTTCCCGCACAACATTCTTTGTAATCATAGCTGTAATTCAGTGAATGGGCATTGTGTCAAACAAAACATGGCATAAGTGAGAGTGAAATAAAAGCAATAACAGCATGGCTCATTGAGCTTATTTATGCCTCAAACAATGGCCAATCACTCCCAGTGAGGGACTTTTTCAGGCTGTTCTGTGTTTGAAGTCAGTCTTGCATGTGGACTGTTTGTTACACCATCTCGGGTAATCATTTAAGGTTAATTGGTGGCCATGTATATATGCTCTGATAACCATGAACAATCAATCTCAAATCGAGGCTGTACATATTTATCATGTTTTTTAATACTATACTTTGTACTCTGGAGTTTTGTTTTCAGTTGGCATTGAAGCATATATCAAATCATAAATGTATCACGTATAGGAAGTTATGTGGAAAAACCCACTCAATGTATCTCCTGGGGTGCGAATTAATGGCTTACATAACTTTGAAGACTTGTTGGGTGGCAAGTGTCTTTGATTCTTCCAGTCGAAGTTCTTCTTAGGCAAAATGCCTGGGAGATTGAATTTTGCCATGATATTGTTTTGTGTAAGCCAATTAAATTGAAATGTTTGCCATTCACTTGTATATCTAATAACTTTGCTGCCAAAAATGCCAGAGGTCAATTTGTGACGTGTGTATGTGTGGGTAGCTTTTAGCCGCTGACTACAGGATTAGTTACTCAAAGAGTGTGTGTGTGTGTTCCAGGTTTATTTCCAAGAAACAATTTGGCAGAGTTTTAACCTGGGTATGGTGTGTAGTTGCAAGTAGAAATTCTCAGGGTACGTGTCCAGTCTTGCCAAGATAGATTGATTATGAATGCTGTAACAATGTCAATGAATACAAATCAATAGTGTGGTGTTTTCTGGCATTGTTTTGCTGAAGTAATCAAAGAGTGCTTGTTATTTAAACAGAAACTAGAGAGCGTGTGCGAGTTCTCTGAACACAATTTTTCACAGCAAATGGAATGAGATTCTTTCTGTTGCCAAGCCCTGCTAGTTTGCTGGTTCCCTTCTGTGTAACGAGAGGTACTGTGCAGGTTAAATGTCTTTCCTAGGAAAGGTGCGAAAAAAAAATTGGGGGGCTTTCCCTCCAAGTAAGCCATGAGTAACTGTGATGTGCAAGCCTGAAAGTCATTCTCATCAGCTAGCCCCCACCCCCAGCACCCGCCCAAAAAAATATTTCAATTATTACAGTACTTCTGTAGATTTGAAAAAATTTTCACAAGAAATTTCACAAGAATTTTATAAATAAATTTCAGTCGCCCAACAGGCAAGTGAAGGAAGGACAGATTGTAGGAATTGGCTAGCTCGACTACTAAAGCCTGGCTCGCACTTGTGAGATAAGCACAAGAGAAAGAAACATTCTCCTTTTCTTATGTCTGCACTTGTGCTATTTCACCTGTGTTTAAATGCTTATTTCATAAGTGGGAACTGGCGTGAAATAAGTACAAGCACAAGTGGGATAATTTATAACCAGTCGCCTTCAAGACTTAAGCTCTCAAGCTGACCCTGTGAAGGAAAATTGAATTTGAAGTTATCCAAATTTCAGTTAAAACACATGTTTCGCGTTAGTTAAAAAAAACACAATGACACACACTTTAAGCAGTCTTGCAAGGTTTGACATTAACTTCCTCGAGAATGCTTGAGAATTTAATTGTGGGGTCAGTTAGAGAAATGAACTTGAGTGAATTGTTTTAAATAGTATTCCAAAAGGTACTGTGCAATGAGTAGATTTTTATTAAAATAATAATTTTTGCACTTATTGCTTGGACTTTGATTGGAATCCGTCTTGATGTGCTTATCTCAAAGATGCGAACCAGAAAATACACTAGCCTGAGGCCATCAGACACAACTTTCTTTGCATGCTGCTTGGAAGGAAATACTGTGATTAAGGTCAAGACTGCAATCAGAGCCATCAGAACCAGAATCCAAAGTATGGTGCTCAAATAACCTGAAGAAGTCAAATAAAATGCTGGGTCAATGAGGCCAAGTTTGAAATGAACTCCTGGGGTATTAAATTGAGAAAATGTAGTTTTAAAGTTTTGGCCATATTTCCAAGCTTGTTCAGAGGCTATGACTATATAATGCTGTTTTTCTTTTTGACTAAAATAATTGACCAGAATGTGATTTATTTTACGAACAGTCAACATACCAGTTGATAACTATACAAGACTAGTACGGAATACCTATAACTTATTAACCAAGTGTGAGGGCCATACTGGAAGAATATCGGCCCAAGGTCTTTAACAGTATGGACCAAGAGCAGTAAGGTCTACATACAAAAATGTCAAGGGCGATATACTCCCAGTACATTTCCCAATTCCCCAACAAGCTTGGTTAATAAGAGATTTATTACACAACTAAAAATTCTTTGGAAAACTGCTCCAATAACAAACTGAAAAAGCATTGCAAACTTTAAGCATGCAATTATTCCAATTAGGAGCCGACTTAAGGTGCACACGCACATACACCATTGAACTAAACAGAGGGGAAGAGAGTCTGAGAAGAAAGAAAAGGAATATTTCATAGGAAAGCAAGTTCTTTCAGAAACATAAGCCATAAAACTACTAGAAAATCTTCAAGAGAGATTGTGTGGGATCATTAAGGACAGTGCTCAGTTTAATACTTGGAGAATATTGGACTGGTAATGGAGTAATCTGATCAGTTGATTTTAGTTATTGACCCTGTGAACTAACCCAGTCAACTTGTAAAAACATTGTGTTCATTTGTTTTATTTTTGATGGTTGTAATTTGTAGGTCAGATGTTTATTAGACCAAGTATCATTGAAGCTGCAAGAAGTGGTATGTACTTTTGTTTAACCTTAATCAGCATTTTTTGAAAGAATAGGCAAGGGCTTGACCTAAACTTTTGTTACCAGTGGACTTATGGCTAGTAAAATGGTAGTTCTCACTAGCCAAAGAGCTCTTTCTACTAGCCATAAAAAATTTTCTCCTAAAACAGCGACAAAAACACACCATATCGTATTTTGTAAATTTCGGCATAATCCAGTGTGTTTTCCGCGTAATTGACACATTTTTCCACATTTTACCCCAAAACTTTCCACATAATTTTTTCTTTCCAGCACCCTGTCAGATAGCAAGAATTTATCTTTTGCCGTTGACAAAGAAATTTGCCTCCATAATTTTGGTAGTTAACATGCCTAGTAACTAAGGGAATTTTAGAAGCCAAAACTGAAAATCCAGTGGTATTTGGTGAGTTGACCATCGCCAGGGTCAAGCCCTGAATAGGGGTTATCATTATTGCCTATACCGGTAGTTTGTAAAAAAATGTAAATGATGTTTTATTTATTGAAGAAACTTGGCAATGAATTCTGTTAAGAGCTGCAATACTGACTGATGATGTTACACTCCTGTGTGCACTGTACGTGAATGGCTAACTTAAAATAGCTTTTGCTTGGGCCAGAATAAAGTGGCCATAATAACAAGGCGACCATATTAACAGGTGGCTGTAAGGCAGGGTTCAACTGTTTTCATTTGGTTTGAATGGTAGTTACTGTATCTGATTCTTGAGAATTTGAGGTGTTTATCTATAAGGGCAAATGCTAATACTTTCTTATATCTTTTAGGTAATTCCACCAAAGTAGAACTCGCAATAGATTTTCTTTCAAAGTTTACCAGTTGGCTGCTTCAAGAGAACTTAAAATTTGAAATAAAAAAGGGGGTCCCCGTATTCGTTTAGGAGCAGGTCTGGAGGACCTTCAATAAACCTCGTAATTCCTGAAATTATTAGACTATGAGTAGTCCCTCTTTCGCTTAGTCCGTCGCGTGTTATGCAAAAGAAAACTGCGAGACAAAAATGGTCATGCGAAATCCTGGGGGTGAGGAGTGCGCGAAAGGAGGGACTATCACCTAAGCCAGGGAGTTTGACCTTTCACAGCCGAGTGATTTTTTGGTGTAGGATTTCTTATGTTGACGTCCTCTTATTATCGCCTGTTGTCAATAACCCCAGGAGATATCCTGAATAAAATTGCTCTACTCTTCAAGTGGCAAGGCAAAAACATGCCGTGAAAGGTATATGTTCATGCAGTGTTCGTTCAGCGAAACTGCAAAAGAAGTTTTAAAAAGAGGATGCAGAAGAAGGCATCTTGCAACGATGTTTGCTGCGTCTGTAGGTGTAAATCTAAAAGTTATTGCAAAAATTTCAAATGCGGAGTTTCAACTGACAATTTACATTAAGTGTTTGACATAGGAGATCATCCAGCTGCGGTGAAATGTTTGCTGATAGCAGCACAAAGTTTCAGGTGAATGTCCAGTTGCAAATGAAAGTCCAGTTCAATCTTTCAAATGGACAGCAGAAAGGCCAAGTTCAGTGAATTCTTATTCACTGAATTGTTCTTGCATGATGCTGTTGAGCAGTTAAATCACTAACACGCCCACATTCGGGTTCAAGGCAGAATAGCTTTGCCAGACAAAAAACATGATAAATTAGATCTTTCCCAAGCCTGTTGGCAGAATTGCAACATCTCGGCTTGGAGAGTGTGTTCCAACGCTTAGCTTTGCTCCAGTTCCAAAGCTTTCTATTGTCGGAAAGTGGGATAAACAACAATTCATTCCTGCAAGACGTCACACATATCTCAAATTGTCAATGCTCCTAACATAAGCCAATCATATTTTTGCATTGTGAGAGCAATGCATAATTCAAAGTCCCTGGCTTAGGCAGTAGTCCCTCCTTTCACACACTCCTCGCCCCCAGGATTTCACACAGCAATTTTTTTCTCACAATTTTCTTTCACATCACACATGACGGACTAAGCAAAAGAGGGACTACTTGTATTCTATGAAATTATCCGCTTTGACAAACGTTTATATTTGAACCATTCACCTTACGCTTTAAGAGAGCAGAAAAATAGGAAGAACTTAAGGGAGAAATACAACAATGGATTTATTGCATCAATGTTAAGGAACAATTTGATGTATGTTTCATTATAACTTTAGGCACTCATATTTAGTCGACAGGGATACAATATTTCAAGCACGCAGTGTTCTGGGGCTGCATATTATCTTTTGCGGGTGCTAGCTATGCTCTCATGTTCCGTGATAATTTTTTACTCTGCAATAGAAATTGGTCCATACTCACTGTATAGAAAGAAGGTGATCTCTGCATTCAAACTAAAATAAAAAATTGTTAGGTCCTGGTACTCGTTTCCAAGGAAAAAATGATGAATTGTCTCTTGCAAGCCAAGCTTTTTTAAAAAAGCCACCATTTTGTTTATGTTTTGTATGTGCACGCTAATGACGCGAAAATCGTGCGCCGTAGAGATGCGCAATGTAATTCTGAGGAATGACCTTAATTGGAAAGTCATTGTTGGTTTTTGTTACTTACAACAGGTAACTTAGCATCTGTTAAAGATTTACTGGACCTTGGTGAAGTTGACATCAATGCCAGAGGTAAGAGATTATTCACAAAAAATATATTACAATAATGAGTGTTACAAAACCATTTATGGCCAATCACAAAGGGCACAAACAGACCAGTTAACCAGTAGTAACCTGAAGCAAACACTTTCAGCCAATGCAAAGAGCAGGAAACATGTACAAACAGGTTTTTGTCTTCTGATGGTTTTACTTCTGATTAGATGAAAAATTAAAGTGGTGCAAGTTTTTTTTTTTAGCCAATCACTATGTACACTGTCAGTGCACTAATGCAAAACCAAAGCAAATCTGAATTTTTATTTATGTCTCCTTGATTTACTGTAGATGAAGATGGTGCAACACCATTGATGTACGCTGCTATGGGTGGACACTACACAATAGTGCAGTTACTGATACAACATGGTGCAGATGTCAACAAGCACGACAAGGGCAGTGGCTGGACAGCACTGATGCAAGCAACTTACTACAGGTAAGAATATGATATCCAGCCATTTCAGGGTCTACAGGTGCTCACCATTTGTCAGAATAAACCAGTTGGGATGACAGTTGAATAATGGAAGTAATATATCAAACACAAAAGACCGTGTTTGACCACATTTCCAAACACCGAGAAGAGAGTCGAAAACATGATGCGCAGCGGAGTATTTTTGATGAACTTCAAGGTGTTTGGAAGTGTGGTCAAACACTGTCTTGAGTGTTTGATATATCTTCTCAATCGAAACTAAAACTAAGGAGAAAACAGAGAAATAAAATAATATTATTGTAAAAATCTTTGCTAATTAAGATCAGATATCCAAACACTGTCACGGTCATGATTTTCGTTGTTTAAACTTGATGAATAATTATTATAAAATGAGTTTGAGAAGGGCTTTTCCAAAATGAGCAAACCAATCGAACAAGATGGCACTTACCATTTGCAATTTCAATTTTCTGTAATAATTATTGTCTTTGGCTGATATGGGACTGCAAACTGAACATTTAGCAAATGATAAGGAAATTTCCGCTGTTCCCTTCTGAATGAAAAAAAGAGGACTACTTCAGGAGGTAGTCTATAATTTCCCATTGGATTTTCTGGAAAATTGCTGTAAGGTGTTCCATCTGACTTTTAATTGAAATTTCTGGTTTTTGTTTTTACTAAATGGTAAGCACCCCAGTTCTCATTTTAATGTGAAAGGTGCAGCTGAAATACCTGCGTACTGACCTGCCAAACCTGACATCCATGATGACTTAAGTGTTGTACTTACTTGAAAAGGCACTGCCCTTGAATAAATGCCATGCTCAGAAAAACAATGCTGCACTCAGTTGAAATACACTATGCAGTTACTTTATACTGACATACAAAAAAATGACACTGGCATTTTAATTGGAGGTTTGTTGTTGCTCTCATTGATTCATAATTTCTTTAAATAGGTCGAATCATTGTCAAGATTCTTAATTCCTTTTACATGTAAATAAGCACTGCCCTTGAGTAAGTGCTGCCCTCGAATCAATACAAATAAATGTAATCATGACTTATTGTTTTCTCAAGTAAATATGGTATGTATGACTTAAGATTAAAGTTTAGTTTGACTTCAATGACAGTGTCATTTTCCCTTCTGAATCCTTTTAGGCATAAAGCTGTTGCTAAGTTGCTGATTGACTCAGGAGCTAACGTCAACATCCAAGAAAAAAATGGTTGCACAGCCTTTGATGTGGCCAGCATTATAGGTGAACCTGATTTACCAATCACACTTGCTTCAGCATTTTCACAAAGTGCTGATTAAGAAGTAGGCAGCTTTACTGAGAGAGAAGGCGGCTGATTTTGCCATCTTTTTCCTATCTAGAGAATCAGACAAACAGCCCAGCAGAGTAATGGGCCAAGATCATGAATGAGATGATTTTCACCAACAACAGACTACTTTTGATCACCGTATTACTTGTTTATTACTTCTTGTGCCAAGTTTTTTGAGATGTGGACTCCTGTAGTCTTACAGGTTTTTCACTTCCTTCACATGACTGTAAAAATGGATTAAACTATAGTACTGAATGAGGTTGATAGTTGAAAAGGGAACAGAATTGCAAGAGAGATGTTTCCCTATATTGGGTGTGTTTGTTGGAAAGCTGGATTGTTAAAATTTTAATACTGTTATTATATTTTCCTTTTAGGTGATACAGAGATCCTACGTCTCTTAGCTTCGGTCAGCATGCACGTTCCAGCCACTCCTAAGAGTTGTGAGTATCTTACAGCCTTTCTGCAATCACTAGACAGTACAAAAGAGGGTTCTGAAGGGAGAGGGGGTATAAATCTCATCTCCCAGCCCAAATTTTATTTTGGCCCAAATCATATTTCCATTTTTTTATGTGATTCCCAGTCCCAGTCACCCAATCCATTTTTCCCAGTGAAAAATAGGCCAATCCCAGTTCGCATTTTCTCACTTCGTCTCTCCTAGATTGTCATTGTAGTTTGAGTGGAATGGTGCCCAAATGAGCAAAGTAACAGAACATAAAGAGAGGGTGGGATGCTATAGCAAAAGAATACCTAAAGATATTTGTTTACTAACTTGTTAGAAAAACAGCAAAATGGTTAAATATAGCAATACATAGGCTGAGATTGGGAAAGAATGAGACAAACCTTGAAAACTAGTAGGCTAATAAAATTTACCAAATTCACCAGCCCTGCTCAATGATGTTTCGATGTTTATTGCTAAATATGTTTTTCTTTATGAATACAGATTATAGTTCTTCAAGTCTTCAAGATAGAAAAGGAAAGGCTGATTTTAAGAGTTCCATAAGTGACTTAAAGAAAGATTTTTCAAAACTAGATAGGTAAGAAACTTGAATATAGTTTCCTAATTTTAGTACTGATAAGTGAACCGAAGCACTTTGGTACAAAACATTGTGAAAATTAAAATGATCTTTCTTATAAGAACAGGAGACTACCCAGTGGCGGATCCAGACCTTGAGCTAGGGGGGGGTTGTTTTTGCTTGCCCTGCCGGTTTTTCTTTCTTCTGCGATTCATTTTTACTCAAAATGAGGGGGGGCGGGCCCCCCATCCCCCTCCCCTAGATCTGCCACTGCTACCTACACTGTAGTTAGGTTGTGTCTAAAGATGTACTTTTTTGAGGCTGCCGCACACTAGCCGATTTTTTGTGGGCCGACAAAAAATATTCATTTGTCGGCTAGTGTGCGGGGAATTCAGGCAAGTCTGCAACAAGATTGATCAGGGCTTGTTGGGCGATATCTGCCAGTGCTAACCAATTAGGAAATGGCATGAAAGTCTTGTCAGTGGAATAGATGCCATCCTGATTTTGGGTGGCTCGGCCCCAAGCCTCAATGTGGTTAGTAGCGACAAAAAATCGGCTGATGTTTGGCAAGCTGATGGCCTGACAAGTTTTAACCCAATTTGACCCCAACAAAAAATCTGCAGTTCTACGACAAAAAATCAGGTAGTGTGAAACAGAAAAAAAGAAAACTTATTGCAAATAGTTGCATTTATGAATGCCTCTACAATATAGGACATTAGCAAGTCTTAATTAATTTCCGCTGTTTAATGTCTTGAATTTCTCTTTCATTGTTATTTTACATGTACCAACTAAAATACTTTTTCTTTTGTAGTGATCTTATAACAGACACTGGAAGGAAGGTATCCATTAGTGATTTTAAGATTATTCTCTTATTAATCTCTAAATGCTCAGTTATATAAGTTAGTTCATTTATGCCAAAGTAGTGAGTGAGCATATGAGTTGTTGCAAGTTGTAGACTAGTCTTGTGGTCCATCTTAACAAACAAGTTAATAAATAACTAAATAAATAAATAAATAAATAATACAGAGTCCGAAATTGCGACCAGCTGGTCGCCAATGTGTCTAAAAATTTGGCATTGGTGACCAGAATTTCAAAGCCAGTCGCCTACTGGTGACTAACTTTTAGCGTCGTGGCAATGTTTTCAACCACGGCTCAAGGAATTAAATCAACAAATAATTGAGATAAAAAAATAAAGGTATGATTGTCATTAAATGACTTTCAAAAACATTGTAATCCGCGCACTGAAATCGAAATTTAGCGACCACCATGTTTTCATTGGTTTCATCTTACAGCCATAACCGTGGGCGCAGTGTGTAAACACGTGCTTTCCTTTTGCAATTGAATATTCAATGAACCATCATGTTTCCTGGCACTCTTCAAACTTTCCAAAATGCTTTGCAGTCTGGCGATCAAGAAAACGCAAAAAACTTCATTCAAGACTTGGACATAGATATAGCTTGTCTGTAGAAATAAACATATAATAATGTTTAAATACAAAGCGTGTCTTCGCGTTAACTTTTTAAATTCTTCCAAACCTGTCTTGAGCTGCTTGAAGTGGGCTACCTTATTAAGTCCAATCTTACATCAGGCAATAATATATCTGTATACATACCGGTAACTCTAAAATGAAGAGAATCAGAACGCCAAATGATCAAAATTTCATTTCTTTGTAAATTTTCAACAAACGAAGTTAATATCAACATCAGGAAACTGGTACGAACAATTTTGTTCTGAAGTGGCCTGGAATGAGCAATATGACTGCTTGTCCATGCGTGTTTTATTGAGGCTTCGTTCGCTTCGTACTGGTAAGTGTGTCAAAAGGAAGTGGCTTCTTGTTAAGTCTCCAAACTAAAAGGGCTCTCTATTTAACAAAAGCTCCTTTTCAACGTAATCTACATGCTAATTCAGGGTCTGAAATTGCGCTTTCCTGGTCACCAATGCGACTAAAAATTTTGCACTGGCGACCAGAATTTTACAACTGGTCGCCAGTGGGCGATTAACTATTTCATGCCACGGTAATTGCACAAACAAGAACTTTGATTTTAGCCAAATCGATTAAAATAAAATTCAAAGCCGCCCACCAATTGGTCACTTCCTTTTTACCTTGCCGCTGCTTTTGAAGTATAAAACCGATTTTTCTGTTATCATAAATCTACCTCGACGTTTTACAGCTACGATCAGTGCGAAGCTTCGCCACCATGTTTTTTCAGCGGTTTCCCATAACATATGTGTTGCGGGAGCAAAGGAGGCCCCATGCATTCTTTCGCCATGAATATTTATTCAGGCGATGTGGTGTCCAAAGATGTTCTGAAATNAACTTAAGGGAGAAATACAACAATGGATTTATTGCATCAATGTTAAGGAACAATTTGATGTATGTTTCATTATAACTTTAGGCACTCATATTTAGTCGACAGGGATACAATATTTCAAGCACGCAGTGTTCTGGGGCTGCATATTATCTTTTGCGGGTGCTAGCTATGCTCTCATGTTCCGTGATAATTTTTTACTCTGCAATAGAAATTGGTCCATACTCACTGTATAGAAAGAAGGTGATCTCTGCATTCAAACTAAAATAAAAAATTGTTAGGTCCTGGTACTCGTTTCCAAGGAAAAAATGATGAATTGTCTCTTGCAAGCCAAGCTTTTTTAAAAAAGCCACCATTTTGTTTATGTTTTGTATGTGCACGCTAATGACGCGAAAATCGTGCGCCGTAGAGATGCGCAATGTAATTCTGAGGAATGACCTTAATTGGAAAGTCATTGTTGGTTTTTGTTACTTACAACAGGTAACTTAGCATCTGTTAAAGATTTACTGGACCTTGGTGAAGTTGACATCAATGCCAGAGGTAAGAGATTATTCACAAAAAATATATTACAATAATGAGTGTTACAAAACCATTTATGGCCAATCACAAAGGGCACAAACAGACCAGTTAACCAGTAGTAACCTGAAGCAAACACTTTCAGCCAATGCAAAGAGCAGGAAACATGTACAAACAGGTTTTTGTCTTCTGATGGTTTTACTTCTGATTAGATGAAAAATTAAAGTGGTGCAAGTTTTTTTTTTTAGCCAATCACTATGTACACTGTCAGTGCACTAATGCAAAACCAAAGCAAATCTGAATTTTTATTTATGTCTCCTTGATTTACTGTAGATGAAGATGGTGCAACACCATTGATGTACGCTGCTATGGGTGGACACTACACAATAGTGCAGTTACTGATACAACATGGTGCAGATGTCAACAAGCACGACAAGGGCAGTGGCTGGACAGCACTGATGCAAGCAACTTACTACAGGTAAGAATATGATATCCAGCCATTTCAGGGTCTACAGGTGCTCACCATTTGTCAGAATAAACCAGTTGGGATGACAGTTGAATAATGGAAGTAATATATCAAACACAAAAGACCGTGTTTGACCACATTTCCAAACACCGAGAAGAGAGTCGAAAACATGATGCGCAGCGGAGTATTTTTGATGAACTTCAAGGTGTTTGGAAGTGTGGTCAAACACTGTCTTGAGTGTTTGATATATCTTCTCAATCGAAACTAAAACTAAGGAGAAAACAGAGAAATAAAATAATATTATTGTAAAAATCTTTGCTAATTAAGATCAGATATCCAAACACTGTCACGGTCATGATTTTCGTTGTTTAAACTTGATGAATAATTATTATAAAATGAGTTTGAGAAGGGCTTTTCCAAAATGAGCAAACCAATCGAACAAGATGGCACTTACCATTTGCAATTTCAATTTTCTGTAATAATTATTGTCTTTGGCTGATATGGGACTGCAAACTGAACATTTAGCAAATGATAAGGAAATTTCCGCTGTTCCCTTCTGAATGAAAAAAAGAGGACTACTTCAGGAGGTAGTCTATAATTTCCCATTGGATTTTCTGGAAAATTGCTGTAAGGTGTTCCATCTGACTTTTAATTGAAATTTCTGGTTTTTGTTTTTACTAAATGGTAAGCACCCCAGTTCTCATTTTAATGTGAAAGGTGCAGCTGAAATACCTGCGTACTGACCTGCCAAACCTGACATCCATGATGACTTAAGTGTTGTACTTACTTGAAAAGGCACTGCCCTTGAATAAATGCCATGCTCAGAAAAACAATGCTGCACTCAGTTGAAATACACTATGCAGTTACTTTATACTGACATACAAAAAAATGACACTGGCATTTTAATTGGAGGTTTGTTGTTGCTCTCATTGATTCATAATTTCTTTAAATAGGTCGAATCATTGTCAAGATTCTTAATTCCTTTTACATGTAAATAAGCACTGCCCTTGAGTAAGTGCTGCCCTCGAATCAATACAAATAAATGTAATCATGACTTATTGTTTTCTCAAGTAAATATGGTATGTATGACTTAAGATTAAAGTTTAGTTTGACTTCAATGACAGTGTCATTTTCCCTTCTGAATCCTTTTAGGCATAAAGCTGTTGCTAAGTTGCTGATTGACTCAGGAGCTAACGTCAACATCCAAGAAAAAAATGGTTGCACAGCCTTTGATGTGGCCAGCATTATAGGTGAACCTGATTTACCAATCACACTTGCTTCAGCATTTTCACAAAGTGCTGATTAAGAAGTAGGCAGCTTTACTGAGAGAGAAGGCGGCTGATTTTGCCATCTTTTTCCTATCTAGAGAATCAGACAAACAGCCCAGCAGAGTAATGGGCCAAGATCATGAATGAGATGATTTTCACCAACAACAGACTACTTTTGATCACCGTATTACTTGTTTATTACTTCTTGTGCCAAGTTTTTTGAGATGTGGACTCCTGTAGTCTTACAGGTTTTTCACTTCCTTCACATGACTGTAAAAATGGATTAAACTATAGTACTGAATGAGGTTGATAGTTGAAAAGGGAACAGAATTGCAAGAGAGATGTTTCCCTATATTGGGTGTGTTTGTTGGAAAGCTGGATTGTTAAAATTTTAATACTGTTATTATATTTTCCTTTTAGGTGATACAGAGATCCTACGTCTCTTAGCTTCGGTCAGCATGCACGTTCCAGCCACTCCTAAGAGTTGTGAGTATCTTACAGCCTTTCTGCAATCACTAGACAGTACAAAAGAGGGTTCTGAAGGGAGAGGGGGTATAAATCTCATCTCCCAGCCCAAATTTTATTTTGGCCCAAATCATATTTCCATTTTTTTATGTGATTCCCAGTCCCAGTCACCCAATCCATTTTTCCCAGTGAAAAATAGGCCAATCCCAGTTCGCATTTTCTCACTTCGTCTCTCCTAGATTGTCATTGTAGTTTGAGTGGAATGGTGCCCAAATGAGCAAAGTAACAGAACATAAAGAGAGGGTGGGATGCTATAGCAAAAGAATACCTAAAGATATTTGTTTACTAACTTGTTAGAAAAACAGCAAAATGGTTAAATATAGCAATACATAGGCTGAGATTGGGAAAGAATGAGACAAACCTTGAAAACTAGTAGGCTAATAAAATTTACCAAATTCACCAGCCCTGCTCAATGATGTTTCGATGTTTATTGCTAAATATGTTTTTCTTTATGAATACAGATTATAGTTCTTCAAGTCTTCAAGATAGAAAAGGAAAGGCTGATTTTAAGAGTTCCATAAGTGACTTAAAGAAAGATTTTTCAAAACTAGATAGGTAAGAAACTTGAATATAGTTTCCTAATTTTAGTACTGATAAGTGAACCGAAGCACTTTGGTACAAAACATTGTGAAAATTAAAATGATCTTTCTTATAAGAACAGGAGACTACCCAGTGGCGGATCCAGACCTTGAGCTAGGGGGGGGTTGTTTTTGCTTGCCCTGCCGGTTTTTCTTTCTTCTGCGATTCATTTTTACTCAAAATGAGGGGGGGCGGGCCCCCCATCCCCCTCCCCTAGATCTGCCACTGCTACCTACACTGTAGTTAGGTTGTGTCTAAAGATGTACTTTTTTGAGGCTGCCGCACACTAGCCGATTTTTTGTGGGCCGACAAAAAATATTCATTTGTCGGCTAGTGTGCGGGGAATTCAGGCAAGTCTGCAACAAGATTGATCAGGGCTTGTTGGGCGATATCTGCCAGTGCTAACCAATTAGGAAATGGCATGAAAGTCTTGTCAGTGGAATAGATGCCATCCTGATTTTGGGTGGCTCGGCCCCAAGCCTCAATGTGGTTAGTAGCGACAAAAAATCGGCTGATGTTTGGCAAGCTGATGGCCTGACAAGTTTTAACCCAATTTGACCCCAACAAAAAATCTGCAGTTCTACGACAAAAAATCAGGTAGTGTGAAACAGAAAAAAAGAAAACTTATTGCAAATAGTTGCATTTATGAATGCCTCTACAATATAGGACATTAGCAAGTCTTAATTAATTTCCGCTGTTTAATGTCTTGAATTTCTCTTTCATTGTTATTTTACATGTACCAACTAAAATACTTTTTCTTTTGTAGTGATCTTATAACAGACACTGGAAGGAAGGTATCCATTAGTGATTTTAAGATTATTCTCTTATTAATCTCTAAATGCTCAGTTATATAAGTTAGTTCATTTATGCCAAAGTAGTGAGTGAGCATATGAGTTGTTGCAAGTTGTAGACTAGTCTTGTGGTCCATCTTAACAAACAAGTTAATAAATAACTAAATAAATAAATAAATAAATAATACAGAGTCCGAAATTGCGACCAGCTGGTCGCCAATGTGTCTAAAAATTTGGCATTGGTGACCAGAATTTCAAAGCCAGTCGCCTACTGGTGACTAACTTTTAGCGTCGTGGCAATGTTTTCAACCACGGCTCAAGGAATTAAATCAACAAATAATTGAGATAAAAAAATAAAGGTATGATTGTCATTAAATGACTTTCAAAAACATTGTAATCCGCGCACTGAAATCGAAATTTAGCGACCACCATGTTTTCATTGGTTTCATCTTACAGCCATAACCGTGGGCGCAGTGTGTAAACACGTGCTTTCCTTTTGCAATTGAATATTCAATGAACCATCATGTTTCCTGGCACTCTTCAAACTTTCCAAAATGCTTTGCAGTCTGGCGATCAAGAAAACGCAAAAAACTTCATTCAAGACTTGGACATAGATATAGCTTGTCTGTAGAAATAAACATATAATAATGTTTAAATACAAAGCGTGTCTTCGCGTTAACTTTTTAAATTCTTCCAAACCTGTCTTGAGCTGCTTGAAGTGGGCTACCTTATTAAGTCCAATCTTACATCAGGCAATAATATATCTGTATACATACCGGTAACTCTAAAATGAAGAGAATCAGAACGCCAAATGATCAAAATTTCATTTCTTTGTAAATTTTCAACAAACGAAGTTAATATCAACATCAGGAAACTGGTACGAACAATTTTGTTCTGAAGTGGCCTGGAATGAGCAATATGACTGCTTGTCCATGCGTGTTTTATTGAGGCTTCGTTCGCTTCGTACTGGTAAGTGTGTCAAAAGGAAGTGGCTTCTTGTTAAGTCTCCAAACTAAAAGGGCTCTCTATTTAACAAAAGCTCCTTTTCAACGTAATCTACATGCTAATTCAGGGTCTGAAATTGCGCTTTCCTGGTCACCAATGCGACTAAAAATTTTGCACTGGCGACCAGAATTTTACAACTGGTCGCCAGTGGGCGATTAACTATTTCATGCCACGGTAATTGCACAAACAAGAACTTTGATTTTAGCCAAATCGATTAAAATAAAATTCAAAGCCGCCCACCAATTGGTCACTTCCTTTTTACCTTGCCGCTGCTTTTGAAGTATAAAACCGATTTTTCTGTTATCATAAATCTACCTCGACGTTTTACAGCTACGATCAGTGCGAAGCTTCGCCACCATGTTTTTTCAGCGGTTTCCCATAACATATGTGTTGCGGGAGCAAAGGAGGCCCCATGCATTCTTTCGCCATGAATATTTATTCAGGCGATGTGGTGTCCAAAGATGTTCTGAAATCTTTCCGTAATTTATTACAAAGTAGAGATGGAACGTCCGCGAAGAAATTAGATGAAGATTGAGATATTCTGTGGGCATCAAACGGTTGAAATGTAGATCTGTCAAAGTGGTCAAAAGATGATTTCAGCACTGGTTTGATTCCTGATTACATTGAATGCAAATATTTTGGCGGCAACCCGTGGCGACCAAAAATTTTGGTTTTTGTTTCGCTGTGAAGGAAAAATTTTAATGACACTTTTTGGCGACCACATTTTTCCATATGGTGACTGCAAAAATAATTTCAGTCGCCAGTTGGCACCTGCCGAAAAAAGTTAATTTCGGACCCTGTAATTTAATGCCTTTATACATGCACATCTGATGAGAACATTTTAAAAACTTAACATTTACGTATTTCGCTATGAAACAAAAATTTTATGAACCACTTTTTGGTGACCAAATTTTTTCATTTGGCAACTAAAAAAAATTTTTCAGTCGCCACTTGGCACCTGCATAAAAAAGTTAATTTTGGACCCTGTAATATCATAATAAACCAATTCCTCTTTGGAGCTTTTCAGGGCCAGTGGAAATAAACAGCCAAACAAATAATGTAAATGAACATAAGATGGTGAAAAATCCCAACTGGCTGGAGGCAGAGCAGTTGGCTATTTACAAGCTATTAAATCTAAAGATTACACTCTCTAAGGTTCTTTATTTAGCCACATTGGTAAAGGTTCTCCCTTTTGGGTGGTGAGAAGAAATTTCCCGCTGCATGACAAAGCTCAATTTTATTCATAGACCTCCATTGATCTTTGTAGCCTCTTTCATACCAGGTTTCTGAAATAAAATTGCCTTTAACAGTATCTTAAATGTCTGCGTCATCCCACTTTATTTCTCAATTCATACACAACTTATGCTTGCTGTATGGTTTTCCTTAGAACTGGTGGTCTAAAGTGTCAAGCAGATTCCGGAACCTTAATATTGGCCGCACTCTGAAGGTGCCCTCCAGTAGTAAGCTCCGTTCTTCCAAGAGTACAGAGAGCCTCAGTGATCAAGAGACTGACTCGGGTCTCAGCACTTCACATGGCAATATAAGCACTGAATCTGCTGTAACGTTGAAGTCACTGGATTCAGGTGAAATGAAAAATTAATGTATTAAAGGCATAAAATGACTTTAATGTACGTGTATTATAACAGGCTGGGTGTAGTTATGTGGAGAGGTGGTTATTGACTGAGATGGGAGGAGAGGGGCTGCATGGAATTTATTTGGGTTGAGGTCATGTTGTTTGGTCTGTGTAACAAGGTCTGTATCCAGTCCATTAGAGCTGGAGACATGAACCACAATCCTTGCATCTAGTTTGATTTTATTAGAATTCTGTTTAATACGCTACTGACTGAGAAGGGGCAGTGCTTATTAGAAATAATTGCACTCAGTGGGCAGTGCTTATTAGAAAGGGGGTACTTATTGGAAGGAGGGTGCTAAGTTGAATCGTTCTGGTAAATGACTGGCAGACATTTGGGAGAGAATTGTGCTTCGGATTGGCTCCTGCTCAATATTATTGTTCTAAGCAGAGCCACATAGGCTTGCTCAGTTAGCTGTGTCAGACTATTTAAAGTTTTAAAACTACATGTAAAATTAAATTGGCAGTGTTTGTGTGGGTGTTCTAGAATCAATATGGATGAAATTTAAGTCCAAAAAAATTCTTGTTTTTGAGGAGAAAAGAAAACTTAAGAACGCAGAAAAAAGCCACTTGGGCCTAGGACAATTGAAGGGGTGAGTGCAAAACCATGCTAAGTGACGATTTCGGTGAAAAAAAAATTTTCGCGAAAGGACTTGAATTTTTGCATGTGGTCTTCAATGTAATAGAAAAATGTGGCCCTGTATTTTAGTCGCTGGTTTTTGCTTCGTTTTCGAGTTATAACGTATGCAAAAATACTTGGCTTTTCCTAGCTATGTCTTTAGGAGTTTATTTGTTGAATTGCAAACAGGCAGACTGTTTATAGTGTATGAGGTCAAAATCAAATCTTGCAGCATATATAGAGTGGAAATCTGGGAACAGATTGTTTACATCAGTTATTGTGACGTGAACACAGCACGTGAATCGATCGAGCATCAAATGAAATACATCGAACAAAAAAGAGATGTGCCGCATTAGAGCACTGTCAACTAATATCTTAAGCATTGTTTTAAAGTACCTTGCATGCCTGCTTGGTGGTTGAGAGGCATCATAAAGTCTCGATAAACCCGTAAGTCATCAGCACGTTTTAAAGAATCAAAATGTGTTCTGAAACTTCGAAGGCAGCTGA